ACTTTGTGAGACAAGTAAATGTTAGGGGGTTGGAAAAACGACTCCCTAAAATTTGCCGACGACTCCCATTTTGGTCGAGGGGTCGTCGGACGGGAGTTGTCTTTCCAATTCCCCCTGGGGGATTGGGAGTCGACTTCCCAATCTTTTTTATTAAAATTTATTTTTTTGGGTGGGAGTCGGTGCCCAAAACCCTCCTTGGCAAGTGGGAGGTTTGGGAGTCGCCTCCCTCCCACTGGCCGGGGGGATTCCCTCTGGTCATTGAGACTGTACAGTCTCAATGACCGGAAAGAATCCCTTCCGGTCATGAAGACCATACAATCTTGATGGCCGGAAGGAACCCCTTCCGGCCATTGAGACCAATCTTTGTGACCGGAAGTTCCGGTTGGTCTAGGCTCTACACTTCATCGATCGGAAGGATATCCTTCCGGCCGATGAGATACAACAACACCATCGACCGGAAGGAATCCCTTCCGGTCGATGGGGCTGTTACACCTCATCAACCGGAAGGGATTCCTTCCGGTGTGGAACTGCTCAGCAAGTGAGTAAAGAGCTTAGAGGGGATAAAATAGCTAATAAGACTATGAAATAGTAGAATTAGTATTGGTGTGTGGGTGAGACTGCCCTCCTGTCTAGCTTGCGGGAAAGTTACACTAAGAAAAATAAGAGTGTGGCTTATTTCTAAATTTATCTTAGTGTTGATACTACTGTTGTTGTTGCTGAAGAATACCTGTTGAGGAGGTAAGGAGTTTTAGGGGGTTTTCTGAGTAATAAGGGTTTCTGTAGGGTTTCTCTGTTAAATCTGTTATAAATTCTCTCTGGTTCTCTGATCTTATAAGTCTCTCTGGTTTCTCTGGGCTCTGATAAAAGGTACGTTGATTTCTCTAAATTTTTCAAGGAGGTGAGAATGGCTAAGCAATATTTCTGAATTACTTTTCTATGGCCAAAAATTGAGGTAAGGGAAGTGCAAGGGCTCTAATAATCTCTGGATCTCTTATTCAAGGGTGATGAAAGCTGAGTAATATCTCTGATTACTCTTCTGTAGGAATTGTTCTGCAGTACATGGGTTTTTGGCCTGAACACAAGTTCCTCTGAGAAGGGTACTTCTAGAGTGGTTTTTACTACTCTGAGATGGCCTAATCTGATATGAATTAGTCTTTAAGTGCCTTTCTAATACAAGAGGTTGTAAATCTACTATATGAGACCTATTCTTAGATCAATTGCTTTGAGAATGGTATTCTTAGACTAATTAGTATAAGAGTTATTTTCTAGAGCTAGTCTGTGAAGTACTTTCTGATCAATACCTTGATTTACCAATCTAAGATGGGTGTAGTATCTTTTATGTGTTTTTACAGTCTATTTGTATTAATTATTATTCATAATAAGTTGTGTATTTTAGGCTGGATTTGTGCTTTATTTTAACTATGTTTTAACCCAGTAATTATTATACTTTTTATTCTATATTTTACCCCTTCTTCTCAAGCCTCTTGAACACTATTTATGTGTAATAAAATGTTTTTAACTAAGGATATGGTTTTGATCAATCTTACCACACCGGTTGATGAGGTTGTTACACCTCATTGACTGGAAGGAATCCCTTCTGGTCGATGAGGTTGTTACACCTCATCGACTGGAAGGAATCCCTTCTGGTCGATGAGGATGATACACCTCATCGATTGGAAGGAATCCCTTCTGATCAATGAGGACCGGAAGGGATTCCTTCCGGTTGATGAGGCGTAACCACCTCATCAACCGGAAGGAATCCCTTCCGGTTGATGAGGTGTAACAGCCCCATCGACCGGAAGGAATCACTTCCGGTCAATGGTATTGTTGTTTCTTATTGCCCGGAAGGATTTCCTTCCGGTCATGGGAGCGACTCCCAAACCCCCTCAAGCATGAGGGGTGGTTTGGGGATCCGACTCCCAAAAATGCAAAAAAAAAGAAATAAAAATAAAACATCATTGGATGGCCGACTCCCAAAGTCGGCCATCCATTTGGAAAAACGACTCCCATTCGACGTCGGACGACCGTATTTGGGAGTCGGCGACTAAAATTTGGGGGTTGTTTTTCCAACCCCCAAATGTTATTTGGGAGTTGGTGACTAAATTTTGAGAGTCATTTTTCCAACCCCCTATTAAAACAATTGAAAAATTGCAGTAACTGTAATGTTTTTTGTAAATTTCAAAAAACACTTTTTTGTACTTATGTTCTCAGAATAATTTTAAGTCCTGTTTTATATCACTTGCCCAAGTATCATGATTTCAAGCTGGTGGGTTGCAGTTGTGTTATTCAAACAAACCAGCCATAAACAACTTGGAGGTGACTGTATATACATACCTGGGCCTCCGTATAAAGTAGGCCTTTTTGCTCTGGATATGTCTATTGTATTTCCAAGAAAGCTTGGATTGGTTTGCTTTTTGAATTTTTTGTAATCCTTTGACTTTGATTTCACAAATCCTATATTTTCATCTTCTCAGCGGGTTTTATCTTGACAGATGTCAGATAACACCTGGGGATAAAACCACCTCCAGAGCCATATTGCTCCAGTAGATGCTCTTGGAGGAGAATTAAGAAAAAACCAGGTTCATATTTGGAACCCGAGCAGTTTGTAGGTCCAACAAGATGCTCACTGGGACTGCTGGTCACTCCCTTCTGCCCCATTGGTGGTGCCAACCAAGCACTGGACCATCACATGAGCTGAGAAGAAAGTTGAAAGCCCTGGGACACCTGAGGCAGAAACATATTTGAAATTAATAAAGCAGAAAGGGAAAATTCATAAATTGCAACAAAAAAAAGCAGAATCAAGTCTAAGCTTTCTTGGAAACACAATACATGCATGTACAGGACCTGTATGTACAAGCTTCAAGTTGAAAAATCAAAGTGGTGTCTCTCCAAAAAAAATGAATGAAAAATGGACCCCCCCCCAACTGCAAGCTTTCTAGGATATGCTGTATATTGGGACAAGCCATGGGGGGAGGGAGATATTCTCAATGATGCAATACACCCAGTGGGGCAGCTTATCCCTTGATCTCAAAGGAGTGATGTTCTCTAGATTGATGATTAGGCCTTGGCTACATATTTAGGGCTTTGTTTGGCCGTCCATGATCATTGTAAATGATCATGGCAAATATTTTGGGGGTGGACAGCTAATGACGGGGCCTCACAATCTAGCTGAACTCAGCCTCTCAAACGGAGGGGGGGTTTGGGGACTAACAACCCCCCTCACGTCCCTGGGGGACACTCTCTGTAGGAGAGGCTTATGCCAAAAGTCACATGTGTTGGGTGAGCGGGACAGCTTTTTTCCCAGAAAAACATGAAAAATAGAAACAATTGGTTTTTTTAAAAAAAACAAAGGTAATCAAATACTGAGTCGGCAAAGTTGTAGCCTTGCTTCTCAGGTACATTTTCTATATATTTTTGTAAATTTTTGTCTGAAACTGGCTGCTCAGCAACCACTAGTCCAATGCATTCCACATGAATGCAATTTATTGTTTAGATTAACCCACTGAGCTTTCAGACCAGACTTGAGCGGATTTTTTCCTATCAACTTAGTTGCAACTGAAAATGTTGGCATCTGTAGGAAGTGTCCCACAGTGCTCAAAATTGGATCCTCATCCGCTGGTGATTGGATTTCTTTTTGGCTGGATATGTGGAATGATCCAATCTCTACATTGCAATATTTTCTAGGAAATCATGTATTAAAAAGGGTTGTGGGAATGAACAAATGAAAAAAGCTTCTGATTCTTATGGTGCCATGGTCAAAGGGCAAGTCATAAATTTTAAGGAGGAAAACTGGCTGAAAATGATTGTTCCAGCCAAATGGTTGGTCCCTCTCCATCCAACAGCAGCACATCAGTAAAAAGTGTTGGAAAATAATTCTAATCAGCAAGATGTATATTCATAGTGTATTCTTCCTTTTCAAGTTTGAGGCCCGCCTGTCAGCCTTCCAGCATCAAACTAGTTTTTTGTGTCTTACTCCGTTGAACATGAGCAAGCCCTTAATCAACTTTCAACCTACTTCCCTGAGTGCAAGTCCGGATTCCAAAACCCAACCAACAAATTAGATTCATCAGATTCAGGAGGAGCCCATTTTAGACTCAAGTGGAGGTGCACTATATTCTTTCTCTTTTTGTTCATGTCTTTTCTTATCTCCTCTAGTGATTGTTTCGTTCTTTTCTTTTCCTTGATTATAACGTTGTTATTGACTTACTTGATTCTTTTAGGCTTGTTTGTTCTTTACTTTTCTCCTATTTATAATCTTAAAAAGAATCTATTTTGGGTTAAGTAAGGATCTGACAGATAAGAAGGTACATATTTTCACTCTTTTATTTATGTACTCTCTTTATCCTCTTTATGGTTTTTATTCTCTTTTTATTGATATCTTCTCATTGGAAGACTTCCTGTTGGATCTGGGACCCTTGCAGTTGGCGATTAAGACCCAAAAAGTCTAGATTTTGGAGGGAAATCTAGCTTTTGCGGCTCTAAATCAAAACTGGGAGACCCGCAGATGTTGACGGGAATTCATCCATTCTTTCTCTTTATTAGTGTCAACTACTACTAGCTTGAGAAATAAATTGCTGCAATAAAGTTTTAGATCTCAAATCCCTACAAAAAGTCCCTCCCTTGCAGGAGGGTGCTCACGCCCCGCAAGCACAGGGAGGGACTTGCGACAAGTTAGCTCACAATGGTGTTTGGGAGGCCAGGTCATATCCACTCTCTTAGAGCATCTCCACGGGAGTCGCTAATTTTGGGTTGCTATGTTCTCACAATAGCAACCAGAATTCAAGGTTTGAAGACCCGAAGTGCTGAGGCACACACCGGGCATCGTTATGAGGGAGTCGCTATCTGATGATTGGGCGAGGTGGTGATGTGTGGTGTTTGGGTTTCACAGAAGGAACACAGGAGTAGCCTGTGATCCTCCTTGCATCCAGAGTCGCTATCGAGTCTTCAAGTTTGAAGACTGGATAGGGATCGAGGCAGAAAATTGTAAAAAAGTGACCCGGATGGCGACTCCGGTGGGTCATCTTTTTCAAGTTTGGGTCGCTAAATGTGGGATAGCGACCCAATTTAGCGACCCCCGTGGAGATGCTCTTATGACGGAAATGGCCAAGGAGATATATTGGAAGACTTCCCGTCAACATCTGCGGGTCTCCCAGAGCCGGTTTAGAGCCTCGAAATTCAAATTTCCCTTCAAGAATCAAGAATCTTTGGGTCTAGATTGACTTCTGTGAGGGTCCAGATCCGGGACGACTTCCCGTCAACATCTGTGGGTCTCCCAGAGCCGGTTTAGACCCTCAAAATTCAAATTTCCCTGCAAGAATCAAGAATCTTCGGGTCTAGATCGACTTCTGTGAGGGTCCCAGATCCAACGGGAAGTCCTCCATTGGAGGACTTCCCGTCGGATCTGGGAAGCCTTGCAGTTTTTGATTTAGACCCAAAAAGTCTAGATTTTTGCAGGGCAAATCTAGCTTTTGCAGCTCTAAATCAAACTGGCAGACCCGCAGATGTGAGGGAGTCATCAATTCCCTGCCAAATCAAGTTTGGGTCCCCCCAAATTTAGCGTCATAGTGCTGCTCTGTGCTCTCATCACCTCGCTGCGTACACACACATATACCTCTAGCTGCACACACACTCTGACGCACATGCTCTGTCTCTATCGCGTCATCATCACTCCGAGTCACGTGCCGAGTGCGCAGCAGCCACATGTATGACATGATTCAGGCTGTGTCATTGCACAGCTGAAGAATCAACTAGATCCGATTGACCATTGCAATGACGGTCAGCTATGACCATCGTGGACAGCCAAACAAAGCCTAGGTTCAATCGTCATGAAATGTGTATTTAAGGTCCTGATACAATATACGGCCTGCCCGAACAGCCGCCTAAAGTATGTGCCATCATCACCGAACTCAACTACTTTTTGTGTGCGTGCTGTACCCCTTCCTCAGCCTGAGTCGGCCGGCCCAGCGAAGATCTTGGCATGGAAGGCTGACGAGCAAATTGTACATGCATACATAAGCGCAAGGCTTCTCCAAGATTTGCATATAAGATGCGACTCGTCTAGCCGCAAAAGCCTCTCAACCACACCAACAACTCCCACATCCTCATTTAGATATAGAAATCACACCAACTGTTGCTCATCTCCCGCATCCCTCTCGGTACCATGAACGTTATTAAATCTGCACTCTTAGCTTTCGTGTTTGGTGTCAGTAATGTCATGTCTAAGAACTTCAAGCCCTGTGGCGGAAACACCCCCGTGAATGCTTGTGCCCAAGACCCAGCCAGATCGCCCGCTCCACTAATTTGTGAGTCCTTTTCATCGCCAACCCACCCCTGGTATTAAACATACAAACTCATTTGTCATTTCCTGTTAATGCGGATTGCAAGACATCCCACCCAGCGATCCAAATTGTGCTCTGACTCCCAGTGAGATACCCTGGTGCTGTCCTCAGGGGGCTATAAGTGTTAGTCAGATTCCTATGACAATTACCTACTTAATGACCCAAGACTTAGGGATTGACGGCAATCGACGTCTTGCTACTTCAGTCAAAACATCCTTCAACACTCGCCTACGCACAAGCTCATGGTTGCATCAAACGCCAGCCAGCTTCTCAGTAGTCTACCTGATTCTTTAAAACAACGGAACCACCAATAGTACGCCGCTGCCATCATTCCTTCACCTAGTAGCTATGTACCTTCTGTGATGGATTTTTTCACATGAAAGCATTAGAGTCCCCTAATCAAATCACTTAATCTCTGAAACAATCTACAGGACGTAGATTGAATACAAGTTCTTGATCGGTTTGCTTCTGACTTGTATCAGCCCCCTCTTCGGAAAATCTTTGTCGCGTATCCCATTTTGTTTTCGAAATCTCGTTAAATCTCCCCACAAGATCTTGCTGGATTTTTCCAAAGAGTTCTTTGAACGGCAAACGAGGATTCCGAGGCCCATAATTGTTAGACTGCATGGATAACATCTCGATATCTTCCCTTCTAGCTTATTGGTGGTGGAGCCGGTGATAATGTTGAGGAGTCGTTGATTTTGGATTGGTTTATCAGAGAGGTGAGAAAATTATGTGGCGGTATAGGCGGAGTAGGGGGGAGCTCGACTGAACTTCTTTCTAGCTTCTCCCGACTTTGCAACCAGCATCTGAGAAAAGTCCTCATAAGAAGTTGGAATAGGTGAAACTCAACGCGAAAAACTTCCACTTCGCGTAGAATGATTACATACTGTTGCAGATGAAATGATGTGTTGAGTGCGACAAAAGAAAAGGAAAGGTGATTTAATTCCATTCTAAATCTCTGAGAGCGAAAATTCAACAGTTTTGCCTAACCTTGAAGTGGGGAATATATAGTGAAATGTGGAGGAAAGAAATATTTATTAAAGAAATGTCACAGGATGTAAATCAAATTCAACTGAGGGGGCTTTTCTCCATTATTCCATGTGAATCCCAAACAGCAAACCCACGTAGTTTCAGTTTTTTTTCCTGCAGACCAAGAATTGTTGTGATTTTTTTTCTTTGAGTCAAAACTGGCTCTATGGCCTAGCAATACCTACCTATCCCAGCCACAAATGCTGTGTTGCAATCTTTTTTTGGTTTTAGGCCTTTGATGGCCCATTCCAATCCATTATTTTTTTGTTCATTTTTTTGGCACAAATGCATAAAAATAATCTTCAGACATGCATCAAAACATTAAGCCAAAAAACAGGAAAAATCCCAGTATGCTATGAACCCCGGGGTTTCAGGGTTGCACAAAGCCCATCCCAAATTCTTAAAACTGGGTTTTAACTGGCAAAGACCCAAAATCTAACAATTGGGGCAATTCCTTATGTGGAATTTAAACAGTTTTTGATGGAAAAAAGGGCTTGAACCTGCTTGTGCAAAAGCACTGTTTGTTAGAATGTCTGTATGAGATCAGGGGTTATTAGTCAAACTGCAAACCCACTTTTTCCATGGGATACAAATTTCAACAAACTTAGCCAAGTCCCCCTTTTTTGCAAAGCAACCCTCTGGTATGAGATCAGGGGTTATTAGTCAAACTGCAAACCCCCTTTTTCCATGGGATACAAATTTCAACAAACTTAGCCAAGTCCCCCTTTTTTGCAAAGCAACCCTCTGAAGGAGGGTCACCCCTGAAGCCCATGAGTATTAAGCATTTGGCTGAGCAGTATCATAAAACTCATCTCACCAAGCTGTTTCTGAACATTTTTGGGGCTTTTTTGATTTTCTTTATGGCCTCACTTGCATGCATCTCTCCATCATCTCCACTACCCTTCAACCCTTACGGTTAGAGCTCATTGGTTTGATGTTCATTTTATCAACAAAGAATCATGTGTTATGCCTTCTGCTTATAGCCCAGCATCTTCCATTCAAGTGCCCTGTATACTCCAGGATACATAGCTATCATGACACAACAATTTGCTTTGAGTGGCTGTATTCTATGAAGCTGGTCTTGAGTGTCAGATTCTGGGCTGTGAAAAATGACCATTAAAAACCAAGTTGTTGGTTGCAACTTGCATTCTTAAATGTTCAGCTGGGAGAACAGCCAGGGCCCTCCCAGTGTGATGGAGGGCACAGTGTGATTCTCCTAGATATGCTACTCCTTTTGGAGGGTGGTGTGTAGTTAGTTAAAAAATGGGGGGACTTGTAGGGAGCTTTGAAAAAAATGCTCCTTTTCTAAATCCTCATGGGCAAGCAGGGCAACATAGTGCATAAGTCTCTCCTGTGGAGGTTCCCTGACGGATGGAACCCCCCCTCCAAAAATAAAGACGGGCTTCTAAGTTAGGAATTCCACACATATACATCACAAATCTATCATTATATCATTCATTCATGTATGTTTTTTTAAAGAAAAAAGTTATTCCTTCCACTGGTGATGCTATCTATAAAATGACTACCCTTTTTTCAACAAGTCAAAAACAAAGTAAAAAATATTCAAAGTCAATTGCTGGCAGAACTTTGTCAATCTTGTGTATACTCACCTGAGTTGGACAACATTCTTTGCACCCCATTTATTAGTCTTTTCTCCCTCCTTTCTTCTTCAATCATTTTTTGTTTTTCCCTTATCTCTCGAAGTTGTTTCATTTTTTTCACTGCTGCTTGAAGTTTTCTGCCTCTTATTCTTGCCTTTAGCAGGATTTTTCTATCATTCAATAGCGCTGATTATACAGAGGAAGTTCATGTTTTTATAAGGGAATGATCAATTTATTATCAAAATAGAAAAGGAAAAGAGAAGGAAAATCCCAAATTCCAGTCAGTCTTGGCCTCAAGATTCATAAATTTACATCTGAACATATAACTGCCATAAAAAAAACCCTACCAATTTGTGCATTTTTCCATGCTAGTTGACTAGCTGTTGATTGTGGATCAAAAAAGAGGAAGCGGTAAGCCAAGGTTGCATACGCCAGCTTGTCATCTTTAAATATCAATCTGAGATCATCGTATGAGGCGATTGCGTATTCCATGACCAAGTTAATCGCCAAGAATGCTGACTTGCGACATAAATTCATGACTCTAAGACTGTCATTTTTGTCTCCGTGTGTTGATGCCAGGAGAATATCTTTGAGGGCCGATAAAATATCTTTTCCGTAGTTTTCACCGCTGGGATTCCGGAAGAGTTTGACCAGGAGCCCTTTTGGAAATTGGTATCCATGGATGTGGTACTTTTGCTCGAGTAAGAGGCTTTGAATCCTCCGAAGTTGTTCTTCGAGTAAGTTGAGAATCTTCTGTTGCTTCTGGTTGGGCTTGCGGGCTCGAGCCTCACGGTAGCTCTGCTCGACATCGTAGAAGTCTTGAACCATTTTGATCCTCGGATCTAAGTGTTCAAAAGGTTTTATATTTTCAGTAATTTATTTTATAAGTTTGAGGGTATCTGATTGGTCTCACACTCCCGTAGCCATAATTGCTTGATGGCCTCTGAAGATTGCTGGTGCTCTTTTTCTACCCGCGTGATCCTGCTCGGAGAACTTCGTACAATCGCCGGGTTTTCGACTGTGAATTTATATATCAAAGATATATCACAATCCGCGCGTGGTTTTAAGCCGCCAGCATCAATCCATGTGCAATTGGATCTCTGTAATCTTACCTCTTGAACACAATGTTGCGAAGGCAGCTGCCGATTCCCTGTGATCTCTTTCTGTACGCAGGACGTTGTTGCAAAAACGTGCCGGTAGAATCGGAGGTCTTTCACCTGCCGATATATAAAGAATTTAATGTAAGCACCATTGATCCACGGGCGTTTTCAGCATCGTGAGAGCAACTAAAAGCAAAAAATGGGCTACCAGTTCGTGACGGATGATTCCGAAGAACACCGAATGTTTTCATAGACGCATTCCCTTTCATGGGAATACCCAAAGCCATATTCAAGATACTAGTTAGATTTATCAGCCCGAGCACTAAAATCCGTTGAAAATGAAGATTCATCCGGTATCCAGATGCGAGACGGGACGAAAAGCTATCCATAGCGATCTGAGTTTTTTCGTTAAACTATGGGTTAGCGGCTTTTGGCATATTTGGTGCCAGCTTCATCTAAGCTGATAAATCGAGCACTCTTAACCATTCGTGATCAAGGTGCTATTAGACTTTACAGATGTACTGGAGTTTTGCAGAACATGTCGTTTTGTGTGTCAATTCTACTGATTTTGAGACTAGACTCACCGAAAAGCAGATCTAGAAGGTCGTGCCACCGACAAGTTAATAATTGCAAACGTAAAAATGTGCTAATCAACTGCATGAAGCACTCACATCGTACAAAACCTCAGAATTGAACGCACTCAGAAACTGCGTTCTGTTTCCGAGAGAAGGCAATCGGGCTAGGGATCATCCCGGATGTGTAGGCTCGATGTCCATGTGACGAGAGAAACAAGATTATTCGATGACGCATCGGGATGGCTGAGTGGAAATATGGGGTGTTCTAGTGGCCCAATTTAAAACTGACATCAGTGATACTACGGCTGTACAATCCTGGAACAGGTCGGGATCATATCAGGCGGCTTTAACAGTTTTTCACCGGTTCTTCGCACCTTGTAAGGTTTTGTATATACCAGAAATGGGAGACTTCTTTTACGGCAATTTTCGCAAGGATCGTCAGATTCTCAATTTAGCCGAGTCCTTCCACAATTTGGAGAAGGCCGGGCCGCCATCCCGCAAGGACATTTCGAAGTTAAAAATTGGGAAACATCTTTCCCGCAAGTTTTGGAAAAGATTTTCAGTTGTCCAATTTAATGAAGTCCTTCCACAATGTAGAGCAGGGATGGGACCATGTTCAGCATTTTTTTAGAAAAATTGGATGTTTGGCACACAATCCTCATTTCCCACCTCTGCAGGGGCTTGATAAGACCATGCCTCCTCCCCACTCTGGTTGGCTTTCTGACAATGTCTTACAGTCAACTGCCTATTAAATCATATATTGTGAACCCAATCTCTCTTGTAACCCATATAAAATCTGGTCAACCAAAATTTCCGAAATGCTTGAAAATTGGACTTATTACCCATAATTCTCATTAGCCCATGTGTAGGGGAGAAATGTCCACCAAGGGGTATGGGTTGATGAGGGCTTGAGTGTACCACACGGTTCAAGCATGAGGGGGCTTTGTTGAATTCCATAAATTTTTCCCAGTCAGATTCTGTTAGTGAGGCCCTTGATGGCATGTGTACTGCCTATTGATAGTAGGGGCTTGGCTAATTGACTCCCAAGAATGGGAGAGTCAACTCCCAAACCCCAAATTCCCCAAAAAATCCACCATTTCCCCCTAAGATTGGGAGTCAATCCCCCAAACCCATCAGTGGGTTTGAGAGTTAGACCTCCACAAATTCTAATTTTGGTGAGGCTGAAATTTTGATCAAGTTACACTCAATTAGCAAGCTCATCTCCAGCTAGGATTCTAAAAAAATCTCAAACCCTGACCACATTGTATGCAGAGGCTTATGATATGAGGTATGTATCTAGACATTCTGTAATCTGGTTGGGTCCCCCATAGTCCTTAAGACTTGTTAAGCTGGGATGCATTCCTTGGCCTCCTTGTCTGAAAGAAGCAGCTAGTGATTGACCTGGATATCTTTATGATTGCATAATCAGTTTCTTTCTTTCCAAAGAGCATGAGAAGTTTTTTACCAAAAGAACCCCAATTGATTTTGAATTTTGATTAACTATCTTTAATTCAGGAAAAAAGGACACCAGTAGACATCTAGGGCCTGCACTGTAGGGCATGAAAATATCAATTTCTTGGACTTCATCTTCCTCAATTTATCATATCATCAAAAGGGACCATTGTCAACAGCCAGTTTTTGGCCTAAAAGTAAAAAAAAAAATTAACAACAGATCTTTCCATTTGTTCTCAATGTTTGTCTAGAAGACAGAAAAAATGACAAACTTTCAAAATTGAATCCCAGGGCACAGGCCCCTAATATTGAACTGAGAATAGTATCACTAATATTTCTACAACCTTTTGGAGGCTTCCTTCTTTCTTGAACCCTAACCATAAATTTGTGCAAGGCAGATATTTAATGATTCAGAAGCCAACTGCAAAGCTGAGTTGAGAATGCAGGCTGAACCATCACTTGACATGAGCATTGAGGGTTACTTTAAGTTTTCCTTTCCCAATCTGGAGTCCTTAAGACCTGACAAACCTCCAAATGATTTTGCTTCAATCTTTATTCAGGATTGTTTTTATTTGATACTCATCATTGGGACTCCAGCCATATATCAATAATATAATTTCATAATCTGCATGGACCTGTAGGATGGGTATACAATGGGTTTGATTACTACTTATCTCTATTGCTTTTAATTAGAGCTATTCCCTAATACCCATTGTCTTGTACTAGGCACTGGTGGGCAGGTACCTGCAGCTATCAGGTGACAGTTGCCAGTGCTGGTGTCCAATCTGGGTGGAATTTCAGGCAGGTACCCGGGTGCTAGTAGAGCTGGCCCCTAGTTCCTATTGGCAGGTGCCAGGCACCCAAGGCAGTGTGCAGGTACCACCAACGGGTGCAGTTACTCAACTTGAGTCAAATTGAAGGGTAGTACCCACACCTGCTACAGGTGCAAGTGCCAGCTCTACAGTACTGCTCATGTTGGTTTTTCTCTGTTGTTTGAGAAGTGAGCTGAGCTCAATATTGTCTTCAGGAGTCAGAGAAGAAGAGAGAAGGTCCCTTCAAATACTTGCGCTTCAGATAAAATTTATCCTGTGTTCTCATTCTTGCAGATCAATCAAGTTAATTAATATTCTAAATCAAGATCTGCACTGGTTAAGATTCTCTCCAACAGAATAAAAATTTCCAGTTTCTTCTTTTGCTCACTCCCCTACATTTTGAACTGGCCATATACATACATGCAAAATAGCCTTGTGCAATTGGAATCGTGCCATGTTTTGAGGTGGTTGATGAACGTTTGAATTGAAGAGATGAAGATTGAGACATGTGTCTGATCACAATCTTCACCAGCATCGATCACACATGTTACAGAATACTGTATGTTACTGTGGGACGGTAAGTTTCACAGATGAGGGTGAGGGAGGATAAGGTTGATTAGCCTGCAGAAATTAAAGCGCTTGAACGATTTAGCCGTAATTATACAGAAGCTGAAAAAGTTTACCAAAAGACTTCGGTACCTTGGACACCGCCACCAGATATGACATACCGAGTCCGGGGTTTCTGAGACGGTCAACAGGGAAACCAGTACACTGCAGAAAAAAAAAAAAAAGAAGAAAACCAGCCAAGCATAACAACAACAACAACAACGACCAGATATTCACAATAACTACGCTGGGCTGCCAACAACCCAGTTCTTCCTCAAAAAGACACCCCCCCAGCTCATCCACACATTCACTCCACAATAATGGTCAACATGAGCAGTCCACTCTCGTCACTCCGACCAGGCCAACCAGCAACCCAACAGTCATACTCTCGGCTCCCCAACCAACAGACAGACGCAGACGGAACGAACTACTTTGACCAAGACGATGAACTGGATGCAGCGTTCAACGAGCCAGAGGAGGCGGGCCACCATGAGAGTCGCAGGATGGATGAGGATGACGAGGACGAGGACGAGGAGGAAGACGAACGGCATGGACTGGTCTCCCACCAGGCCTCGGCAAGCAGCAGCTCGAAGATGATTCTGACGGACAAGACCCAGGTCCAGCCGAGTCGGACGTACGACTTCGAGCCCGACAGCTCCTCGACCCGCTTCCACCCCAATGCCGGCTCGCCCACACCCTCACTAGGTCCGCCCTCACTGGTCAGACTAGCCGGGATGGGTGGCGGCGTGCAGAACGACGGGGTGTTTGCGAACCTCAGCGCGAAGCCTGACGGCCCCGGAGCCCGGCTCAACCCTTCCACCGGCCAGATGGAGTTTGTCGGCGGAAACGACGACGGCCATCCTACCGACAAGGAGGAAGTCCTCCCCACCTACGACTCCGCCGCCCTCGACTCTGCACCTCCCTATTGGGAAACTACAGTCACTCTCCCCGGCGTCAATTCCGGCCCCTACGGTTTGCTCGGCCCTGATGACATCCTCGTCGATGGCCTTCCTGTCGGTAACTTGTTCGGCTTCGCTTGGAATTTGTTGGTCTCAATGAGCTTCCAATTTATCGGTACGTCCTTTATTCTCCTTCTTCCATCCTCCATAGACTAAGACTCTTTAATTGGTCATTATCATTCAATTTGTGCGATGAGCTCATCTCTTGATTCGAATATGTTGTTCATTTTTTTCAGGTTTCCTACTGACCTACCTCCTACATACCACGCATGCGGCCAAGAACGGCTCACGGGCCGGTCTAGGGATCACGCTAATACAATACGGCTTATACACCCGAACACGAGCTCTAGAAGGAACGAATGGCGTGGGGGGAGGAGCCTCTTCGCGCTCGTCAGCCTACAACTCCTCGTCGGTCCCGCCGACCACAACGGATCCCTGGGGCCTCTTTGGCCCGTCATCGACGAGTGACTGGGACGGCTCGACAGACCGAGCAGCCAAGGGCTCCCAGAACATGCCCTACGATGGGATCCCCAATAACCATGGCCATGTCTCCGGCGCCGCTAACGAATGGCTCGGGTACATCCTCATCGCTGTTGGCTGGTTCTTGCTCTTAGGCGGCCTGGTTAATTATTGGAGAGCGGTCAGTTCGCTTTCCCCCCTATCCTTCCTTATCCTCTATCCATCTCATCTTTTCTTCTACCCCCTTCGTTCAGGTCCGATGGGCTAGAACTGTGAGGAACTCAGATATGCTTGGCGAAGCTTTAGCCTAAAACATCCTACCCACCTGCTGTCCAACCAAATGATCAAAAAACCATCCCCACCTCCTCAAAATATCCATCCTCATCATTGTACAATTCTCTCTCTCTCTCTCTCCTTCTCTGTCTCTCTTGTCTCTGTGTGTGTTGGTGTGAATTTTTTCTGATGATCTATTACAACAGTTACAATTAATTGAGAAAGTATGTATATGAATATATCTATCTAAATATACATACATATATATATACATAAGCGTTCACAGACTCATGCTTGATACTCCCTCTGATCATCCGAATTTTTTTCTTCACATCTAAATACATATACATACTTAATCTATGTGTATCATTCTTCATCACCCTGCTTTCTTAGAAAGAAATCAAAATCAAAAAAATATACTTTTTTTTTCTGTTTCTGAATTATCAATATAAATACCTGAACCAACAAATTGAGGGTTGTGGAAATGCCAAAAAAAGGGGACTTTTCCTCTTTTGATGGGTTGACATGCTCGTGATGGAAATTTGAAAATGTGTTGCGAGAAGGAGGGGCAGATATTTCATCTATCAGCTTAATCAAAATCCTCTCCCCTTTCTTTGTTTTTGTTTGTTGTTGGTGTTGCCAATGAAAGGTGTGCGCACATATCTTATTCTTCAGGTGTCTGTCACAGCATCAGCAATAAGAGAGAACAAACCCCAAGGACAGCAATTTTGAAGAACATAAAATCAAACAATTTGGTGATCCATTGAATCCACCACCATCTACATATTCTCTGCAGGAACAGGCCAATGAGAATGATAGACATGAAAAAAATCAACAGTATTTAGCCAGGCTTTCCTTGCATGATCCTGTCCTTGTTCCCTGACCAAGCCAAGCATTGGGTGGAGCAGGGAAAGTCTATCCCCTCTTCTTCTAGCTCTCATTTCCCAATCACATTGATTGGCTCCTAGAAGATAGAGGAGTGTGGGATCCTCAATGCCCCTCTCAATCTCCTGGAAAAGGACAAAGACAGGAGTCTTCACCTGTTAGCTGTTTAGGACTAACCAAACCACCAACCCCTATTCCAAAAACCGCCCTTTGGTCTCTCCGCCTCCAACTGCAGGTATTTTCCCCAGATTGGATGACTCCAAGCAATGTCACTGAACAAGAGCCACACAATGCCTAAACATCTTTGATGAATGAAGAGTTTCTGGGGAAAAAATTATCAAGTTTTTGCACTAGGAAAACGGACACTTGAAGCCATGTTGCAAAAGAAGGAAAAATTGCACATTCAGACAAATAAAAAGGACATCTAAATGGAGCAATGGTTGGAGCAGAGGCTATGAGCTAGGGGGTTGCTAAGTGGACTATTTAAAGAGGAGTCATCAAGCCATTACTAAGTCCAGTGCCTGGCACTGACTTGCCCCATTTCCATAATATCTGTTTCATTTCAAGAGAACTGTCTCCCCCATCTACCACTCCAGCCAAGTTGCCAAACAAAAAATTCTTTCCTCTGCCTTAACAATGAGTTCCCTCCAATCTTCATTAACCTATCCTTCCCTCCTCACACACTTACTTTTCTTGATTTCTCCACACATTCTCCTTGTCTCTTATTTTCCATTACAGTTGTGCCCGGCATTCTGCTGTACAGTGCCTAGACAGTGAAAAGTGGCTGCCTATTTTGGATTCCAGAGCTCCAGAGCAGAAATTGGAAGTCATGAGACTTGGTCAAGTGGTGCGTAATAGGTCCCAAAAAATGAATATGAAATAATAAAAGCAAAAAATAAAGTTTCAAAATTTGTTAAGATAAAAAATAAAATTGATTCTTTTCAAAAGCTTTGATATTCATTTTTGGGGAGTGAGAGTTATGAGAGAAAGGAAGATTGAGATATTAGAAAAATGATTATAAATGAAAATTTTAGAAAAATTGACTTCCATATGGCTTCAAACAGCTCTTGAGTGGGGCATTCACCAGTCCACATTCCAGTAAAGCATTAGAATTTACTGTTTTGGCTCCAATCTGGACAACCAACCTGGCCAAACCTTTTTTGGTTCCAATTTTTTTCATTTATAATCATTCTTTCCATGTTCTATTCTTTCTTTCTCTCAGCACTCCCACTTCCCAAAAATGAATTTCAAAGCTTTTGAGAAAAATCAATTTTATTTTTTATTTTTCACAGATTTTGAAACTTGATTTTTCATTTTTTATTTTTCATATTCATACTTTGGGACCTATTATGCACCACCTGACCAAGTCTCATGACTTCAATCCTGTGTTTTGGAGCTCTTTCACTGTCTACCCACTGTACACAGCTGTCTGCAAATGACAATTGCCTCACTCAGGAGAAAATGGTGCTTGGGCAGGGGGGGGGGGGTTGGGCAAACATTACAAAGACCACATTTTTAGAATCTACAGACCTTGTAGATTCCAAATTTGAAGTGACAAGCTGTTTGGCCCAGCCATTTTCCATTTTTTTTTTTTTCATTTTGCAGATGGGTCATTTGGACCCATCACCTAAACCATGCATAAACATGAGGTAGGATGACACCTCTGAGTTGACCCATAATTATGGCATACAATCCCATACACATGGGATTACACCATCAAAATGCACACTTGGGGGTCCAATCCAATGTCTAATCCCCCCCCCCCAAACCAACCCAAAAATAAAAAAAAATCTACTTTTTTGGCCTTGACCATTTGGACCTGTAGTGACTCGGAGGGTGTAATCGATATGGATTCCTCTAGGTGTGGCCCGGAGGAGACGGATGTAGTCTCCTCCAACTGGCTGAGCCGCAGCCGAGTCACACCATGTGACCTAGGTCACAACACCCACCCCCTCGGCAAGGCTCCAAGAAACCTGCCGGGGAGGTCCTAACTACATACAAGCTGAGAAAAAATAGAAAGAAAATGAAGAAAGATAGAAAAAAATAATCAAAATAAGCTCAACCTTGAATAAAAATTGGTGGGGAAAGGTTGAGGAGGCTGAAAGATAAAAAAATAATAAAAATAAAATAAAATGGTAGAAATGATGAATAGGTTGAAGATAAAAAAATCAAATTTTGATAAGCAGGAAAGAGGGTTGTAATGTAAAATAGGCTAATAATAAGGGGAACCATAGCCATCATCAAAACCACCATCAAAGCCGCCATCTTCAAAGCCGCCATTGTCAAAGCCGCCATTGTCAAAGCCGCCATTGTCAAAGCCGCCATTGTCAAAGCCGCCATTGTCAAAGCCGCCATTGTCAAATCCATCATCATCAGATCTCCCATTGTCAAAACCACAATTGTTGTATCCACCATCATCGAAAACACCATTAAAGCTGCTGTCATCTAAAACAGATTTGTTCTCTGGATTCTCATCAAGATCAGTGGCGCAGTAGTTGGAATGTTCATAGTAATTAGAGGGGTTGAATTGATCAGGGTGATGTGAAGGAATACAATGGTTGTTGATTTCATTGGTTGTTGGGTAGATGTTTTGGTTGTGGAGTGCTTGATTTGATTGGGGAGGTAAAGAATTGAGTGGGGAATGCGGTCAAGTTGATTGATCAATGTGTAGAGTTGCATATTGTTGGAAGGATTTGGTTCTAACGTCGGGTCCCATGATTTGAAGGTGCTCAAATTCATCTGCTGACAGGGTGCTGGCCCAGTTGTCGACATCTTTAGCGCTATAGTTTTTCAAGTCAAAATCTGGTTCAGACCGTTGGGTTGGATTGGTTTCAGAGAAAAAATGGCCAATACAATTCTCTGGAATAGCCTCGGAGGTCAAATCTTGTCCTTGGTGAAACTGATAGGGAGCTGCATTGATGTCCAAATCGGACCGGTCATCCCATTTGATTTCGTCTTCTTGGATTTCGTCTAGTTCACGTGTATCACCAATTGACATGGCTGAACGGCAATCAAAATCCTTATCTGTGATCATTTTATTGCTGGCTAGTTCCGATAACAAGGGTTCTTCATTCACATTGCTGGGGTCATCCAAAGTCAAGTTTAGTTCTTGATCTAAATTCTCTGCACCCTTTCCTTCACGCTGCAAGTCTTCTGTTGATCCAGGTTCTTGTTTGTAGGGGCATGGAAAACTACGATGTTGATGCCGTGATGGATGTTGGGTATACCTCGCAGAGAACTTTGGTGGCTTATAACGATCACAGCGGTTGTAGACTATGGGTTGAACTTGTTGTCGACTCGGAGGAAAACGGACCGTATATGGATGAAGAGCTTTCTCGCATTGATCATGATTTTTCCGTTGGTGATCCATCTTCCAAGCTCGCGAGCGCTTTGTCGGAGGATTTGACCAGGGCCGACCACGAAGCGCAAAGGTTTGAAGGCATGTAAGCTGATGGAAATTTGGGGCTGGTCCATCAGGAGTCGCATTTGATGTAGATCCTAGAACAAGATTTAAGTCTGCCAAGAAAGCCCGAATTCGACGGTGAGCATTCTGAAGATGAGGGTCCATCGATTCCAATCGTTTGATAATGCAAGGATGAACAAAAAATGAAAAATAAAAACTGCAAGTGGGATCCGGTATTATACGTCGGATTGATTAGGTTTGTCGGTGCTGTTGAAAAGTGGATCCGGTATGTTTCCTCGGGTTTTGTTGTAAGATTTAAGATGAAAAAGGGCCGGTATTCTTCCGTCAGCAAGATAAAAGGTAGGTCCGGTATTGTTCGTCGGCAAGATAGAAAATTGGTCCGGTATGATTCCTCGGAGTTCGTCAGCAAAGCTGGTAACGGTTAACGAGATGCCTTAAGGGCTCATAACCTGTAGTGACTCGGAGGGTGTAATCAATATGGATTCCTCTAGGTGTGGCCCGGAGGAGACGGATGTAGTCTCCTCCGACTGGCTGAGCCGCAGCTGAGTCACACCATGTGACCTAGGTCACAACAGGACCCACCTCAAGTTGTGTACAGCAGAATGCCGCGCACAACTGTACAACCCTTGGTTTTCCTTTTTGCTATGTTCAAGTAAAGCAATTGCCATCCATCTTTTATTCCACATACACTCTTTCCATCCTGATCTCATCATCCGCATCCTGCCCCATCCACCTGTGGCTCCCTCTCATTGCCTGTCTTGGATGAATTGTAGCCCTCACCTCACCTTCCCATTCCAGTATTGATGTCTCTCCCAATTGATTCTACACACTTTGGAGTTCACTTCTCCTTTACTCAATGCATAATGGGCCTTTCCTTTTGATTCTTCCCACTCTTCAAATGCTACTGTCACCCCATCACAATCACCTCTATTCATGCCTCAATCACACTCAAACTCACTCAGGAAGTCTCATTGACAAATAAGAGCTATGAAATTTTAAGGCTGAAACTCCTATTTTTTCCTCTATAGATGCAGCAGTGGTTGGCCGGTTACGCTAACCATAGGGTTAGTGTAGCGTAACATAGCAGAATTCAGCATAGCGTAGCAGAATTATGCTGCGTACAGGCACCCAAAAAGTGCCCGCTACGCTGCAATAATGCGCTGGCAAAAAACTGCTAAGTTTTTGCTAACACTACACAATTTCTGTGTGCAAAAAAATGCTATGCTAATGGTTTTTGGGCAAAAAGCGTAGAAGCCAATTTTTGCATGTTGTGACTGCCAAAAATGATACCAAAACCATAGCAGACAGGTCCAATTGCTGCCAATCAGCACCAAGTATGGCAGGAGCTGGTTGAGATGAATAATCCAAGCTTGAATATTGGCAGTGCTGTTGAAGTTTGTGCATGCATTGGTGACTCTGCCTTCAATGGAGTTGAATGTAATGAATATACAGATATTATTCTCATTCATTTACAGTCTTGGAATCCCAATTTTGGAAGAGGAAATGAGGTGTAGCGCAGCCACTCTTGAACCCTAGTGATACCCTATAGCAATCTCTGAGCCCACTCTCATGATTGAACTCTAATGATGCCCTATAACAATCTCTGAGCCCACTCTCATAGCTCCATTCTGACTGGACCCTTGGCCATGGGTTACTTTATTCCCCCCAGATGTGTGCCTTGTAATTGTTTTGCCTACTTGATTTGTTTAAATGGTTTTTAATGACATCAAAAGATTTTTTGCCTTTCTGTTAGTTGATAGGTTAGTTAACCCTAATTTTTTGGTGCTACAATCCTGATTTTTTATTCTGGTTCATGTCTGCTTTGCATTCCTCACAACAGGGGGTGGATGGGTTTCTCTGCTGATGCCACTCTGTTAGAGCATTGAATTCTACCAAGCAACAGTGTCTATATCATTACCAACAGCTTCAAATTCTTTCACAAGGGGTGCTATGAGAGCATTTTGTGAAATTGCATGGGGGTAGTTGAAAGGGTGGTGCTTTGTTTGGAGACATCACTCAAATGATGGTTATTGAAAAATCCAAAATGGGCATGTGGAACCTATGCCCTGATATGACTTATTTTTATTTCAATTTTGAAGTCATACAGATGTGTAGAGTTGAAAATTGTAACTGTTGAGCTTCTACTCCAGGGGGGTTTTTTGTATGACATGCCAACCAAAAGCCATACTTCAACCTATAGCTATGGGCTTAATTGATGCTTATTCTTAGCCTTATGCCTCTTGGAGATCTCTGAAGTACCAGTAGCACATATGTTGAGTGCTTATGCAATACCCAGAGGTAATACTTCATCAAAAGGGCTACAAAACCCTGTAAATACAAAAAAATAAATCAAATTTTTTGGCTAAACAATTTGGACACTCTCAAAATCCAGGGTTGATTTTTTCCATCCCCAATTGTAGTGGCCCCAAGTCCAACCACCCAACATCCACTGAGAAACATCATCACAGCAGCGTGGTTAAATAAGAAGAAAGACCTGATTTCCTATATTTTGATACTGAAATAGCATTCAAAAATCTGCACAGACAGCAAAAGTCCATTGGATGAAATTTTCTTAGTTTAACTTGGCACTACACATTTTTACTACTGTATCAACAAGCAAAGCATTACACACAAACAAAAAACCTGTTGTGCATCACAAAATTTGACTATTTTCAATGCCAAGCCATAAAGACAAGAAGAAGCTGTAGATGATTTCACAGAATACAAACAATCACATGAAGTGAAAGAGACAGTCATACAAACCACAAACAATCTATGTAAAATTTTGAAATTCAATGTGAAATTGGATAAATCTTGCACTAGAATATCAGAAAATGAAAGTTGAAAGGATAGTAATCCAGAAACAGACTATTTCAAGTTCAAAGATTTTTACTAGCAAGGAGAGGATTCTTGAATTTCAAGGCAAAGTTTAACAGAAGGAACAGGACCAGAGTGATGATTAGAAATGCATCACAACACATTTTATCCCTGAAGATTAAGCTTTATTGGGTTTTGATATCTTGATAAACAGTTTTCCATTTAGCCCAACTTGCCCTCCCAGCATACTCACAATACCGGGCTGTTAAGATCATAGCATTTCAGTTTACATTTATCTAGATAGGTGGTATTCCAAATGTAACCATAAATTTCAAATCATAAATTCATAAATGAATTTTGGCACAGAAACTCTTACAGAATCTCTGTGTAAAATCATTTTTGAAGTTGTGTGTTTGAATTCATGGTTCAATTTTAAATACCATTGTGAAAAAATACTCACTTTTGTTTTGCACACACTTCCAATTTTTTGAATCTTTGTCTTCAACACATCTTTTTTTCTGTTCCATAAAAAGAAAAAAAAGAAAAAGAAAAAAAATTAGTGAAATATAACTGATTTTTTTGATAAGTTGTGAAATAGAATTGAATCACTAACGCATTGATAGCTAGTGTAGTAAAAGCATGATTAATCTGTACCTAATTGGATGAAACGGGTTTCATACCAGATGAAAATTGAAAAATAAAATAGCATAAGAATCAGTCAGTTTAGTAAATGTTGTATGTCATCTTTGAGAAAAAGGATTCACCCGGCATGATTTGTAAATACTGTCAATTCCAAAATTTGGATCCTGCTTCAAAAATCCTGTTGACTTGTCTAAATTGATTTGATCAATGGCACTAATGGGTGAAAAATATTTTGTGGTCAGAGATATAAAGTCATTGATATGTTCATATTTCTTTCAGATAATAAACCACAAACGTTAGACAATCTTCTGTTTTTATGACAGCTTTTATTGTGTTGTTACAGGCTGGTTGGCCAATTGTTTCGACACCTAACACATTTTGTGTAACAACTGTTGCAAAGCAATTTTGTACCTGGCTTGTGCCATCCTAAAGAAATTGAATTGAAAACCTGTTCAGATACATGGATGCAAAGATCAAAAGTGTAAAATAATCACAAAGTACACACATATCCCGGGGCACAATTATTCAAGATGTCATTTATGGAATTAATGACTTCTACTTGTTGAACACCTCTGAAATTCGGCAATTTGAATTTAAAAAAAAAATCCTATTTAACTATTTCAATTTGGAAAATTTAGAATCGGAAGCTTACTCACTCAACATAATTGAGGATTTGTATCTTGTGCAAAAAGAGAATTATCACCAATGATGCTGAAAATTTGGCCATGTATTACTTTACGAATTGGAAATCAACTTACCATGCATGTTTCACTACCAACTGCAATTCCTTCTTCACCTTTACTGATTACTCCATTTGAAAATTTGATTGAGTCACGAGCCCTGTTTACATATAAAGAATATGTCAAATCATGAGAAGTCAGATGAAAACAAACTACTTGTCAGTAAGGAGAAATTTTGATTATTAATTGAAAAGAAGTTATGGGATGGAGAAATCTTGAAAAAGACGGAGCATACGTCTTGCAATTGTCCAAGTTGAGGTTGTACTGGCGGGGGCAACTCGCGTTGCAGGTGACTAAAAAACTATGGGCAAGCAAGCCGCTCAAGATCAAGAAGAATTTACAAGAATCCATTTCTATTGTTCCTTCTATGTATTATTGAATATATCTTAAGCTGATGGTGAGGTAAGGGGACGTGTTTTTCGGACCTGGTCCAGCTCACCAACCTTAAATAGTCTCCCCTAAGCGGAGCCAAGGGGTTTGAAACTCGACCACTGGTGCTTGTTGTTAGAGTTTGTTGCCATGTCCTTCGACGAAGGCCTACCAGAGCGAGGAAGAGGAAACCGTATCAGTAAATAAATAGGGGGAAGTGGAAATCATATTAGCAAACAAATAGGAAGCCTTCTCGGTTTTCACTGCTACACAACTGAAGTTGAATTTCAAGGAGTTACCCAAAACATCAGTTACCTTAGACATCAATAAATAAATGAAGTGTAGCTACTGCTACCTACAATACCCGTTTCATTGCATGGTCTCGGGTCCCAGCTGCCGAGTGACCATTTTTTCAGATCCTTTCAATGTCATAACGACCGACGGGAGCATCTGCGGTTTCCCAATTTCGATTCTTCAAACACACTCCTGAGTCCAGGCCATGTACTCTACTTGTAGTTTGTTTGGCAAAGAAACCGTGTACATAAGAACTCCAAGTATTAGAAACATGAGATGAGGTGACTGGATTCGACCCGGGGGACCGACGCTAGACGTCTTTTTCTGGTTGTCGGACCAAATTTGAGGCCCCTGTAAGCCCTGCTCCTCATGACTTACACAAACATGTTACTAGATTACATAAGCTTAGTTCCGGCTTGTATTTAGTCTTGCACTTCCCCTTCACCTAGACAGCAGAGATCTTTCTCTCCTGTCTAGGTGAGTACCCTTTCTTCCGATTTCCTTTTCTCATTTCCCTTCACTTGTAGATACTAACGAGAGATCTTTCTCTCCTGTCTAGACTGAAATAAAACCCACTTTGGTACTAGAATCCTTCCTTCAGGAGCTATTGAGCCCTTGTCTAGTGCCTTTCCCGACGGACAGTGAAGGACTCAACGGAGTCCTTACACTTTTTTTTTCTAGTTCCACAAACAAGATTGGCAGAATTTTTTTTTGAAATTCATTAACGTGCCTTATTCTACTTCCGACGTTTTGACATCCCCTTTCTCAACATTGACCTACACCCCTCAAATCATAATCTTTGATATCCAATCAATCAAACCACCAGCCCCAATTTCTCCTCTCCCAAAACCAAGCAAGATGAACCGACAAGGTTCTCGACGACCTTCTTATCAGACGGAGAACGGCTACGAGACTCGGATCCGTTACCTGGAGGAGGTCGTTCATCTCCTCATTTCTAGAAACAAATCGGCCCCGCCAACCTTTATCTCCTTGCCTCCCGTAGTCAGCTCGTTTCGATACTCGAAAAAGCGAGGTCTCATTCCGCTGTTATCACAAGGAACAGCGGAGTCGTTAACAATTTCTGCGTCTTGGACCCATTGTTTTAATCCTCCACCACATCGTCGGCCACCCTCCGATATTTCAGCTCGTCTCTTCAAGCCACGCCCGCGAAGTTGTCCAATTGTCACCCACGGTGCATCTCCGCTCTCGGTCCTCACGAAAGACGAGAACGCAACCAGAGATCCCAAGTCCACTCGGCCAGGGATCTTGACCGCGCCACCTCCAGTACTCAACAAGCTCGGAAGCTCGGCGACTGGCCCCAACCACTGGTCAAGCTCCAACACAGATCTGACCTGCAGCTCGCGGCCACCTACTCGCGCATCCGTCACAGGACTCTCAAGCCTAAGACCCGCCGCTGGACCCTCCCCTGTACTGCAGGGCAACAGCTCCCCCGCCCGATCGCGCTCGTTGGATCGATTCCCACTCGCTGCTCGCGCCAAGGCTCCCAAGGCGGAACACGCTTCCGTCACCCAATCACCTTCCTCTGTTATTGCGATTGTTGCCGAAACTCCAGCTAGCGACTCGGTTCCTGCCCTCAAAATCGCCGAACCTGACACCTCCGGCCTTGGTTGCCACCCTGAGGCCCTTGGGCCGATAACCTTTCCTTCTAACTTGGCATCAAATGGAATTGCAGCGCCATCTGCAACTGCGTCGCTCTCGAGATCGACTACCAACAATCCCACCTTTAGCTTGACATCTAAACCCTCCTCGCCGCACCCAGCGTCCCACTCCTTGGTCGTACTATGTCCGGAACTCTCGTTCACGACTGAGGCCGACTCACGACCGGACCGTTTGTCCGTCCTCCCTCCACCGTCTTTACCGCAGCGCGATACAACCTCGCGACCGAGCACAGATCCTAAAGCTACGACACCAGTGCCGCCGCCATTGATATCACCGACTGCCACTTCCGAGACCGACTCGTTTCCTGCTCTGGTACTCTCTGAAACTGGACCGCAGACTCCATCGCTTGTCAATTGTAGCTCACCTCTGCCCCGCGCCGGGTTGTTATCAACAGAGACACTGCCAACTACCCCTACAACCTCGCGAGCGAATGCGGATCTGAAAGCTGTTGCTGACTCCACACCCAACCCGACAAACACCTCTAGCTCACCATCACTCCCTAGCTCAACTGGAGCCTCCCCTCCCCCAACATCTGCTGCTGCTCCCTCCTCGGCCGCTGCCGCTGTTGCTCCTCATTGTTCTGTAAACAGAACGGACATCAGCAACGCAATACACAACACTTCCTTGCCTTCTTCTCTCTCGCTGGCCCTAGACCTCTCGCAAACGGTGCTTCAACACTATGAAGACATTGACAACTTCCTCAAGCTACCCCCACCTGAACCAATGCAAGAAGTTCTGGTTCAAGCCCCTGGCAAACCAATGCCAGAAATTCTGGGTCAAGGCCCTGCCAACAATACTGTTGAGACCCCCCGCCTACTTTATTCCCCACCTCCTGTTGAAGTCACCCTTCCTCCATCTTTCCCAGCCTGCCCTGTCAACCTTGAGGTAGCTGCTATAGGATCCCTAACTGTTGAGCACGACAACAACAATTCTATGGATGCTCAACTAGCTCCAGAATATTCACAAGCAACTCTAGATTACTACAATGACATCCAAGAGTACCTCCAGCAGGCCAACACAGATGAGACTGAAATTAAGAAGAAAAAGAAAAAGAAGAAAAAGAAAAAGGCCAACCCGACTTCAACACCTGACAATCCAATTTTGTTTTATGTTTGATACCTTCACCCTCTGTCCCCCACACATATCCTCCAAATGTCCTCACCTCCCAATAGTTTCTTTTCTATCTTCCTCATGCTCCTCTCCGCCATACTTCTAAGTTTCTCCTCAAATCATCCACCACTCTCAAATTCCTCTCCACAATTCCAGGCCACTCTCTATTGTTTTCTTCTCTTTTTTACTGTCCTGGTTACTGTTAAATTTTTCTCCTTCTTCATTTTTTTATAGGAGGGGAGACTGTAAGCCCTGCTCCTCATGACTTACACAAACATGTTACTAGATTACATAAGCTTAGTTCCGGCTTGTATTTAGTCTTGCACTTCCCCTTCACCTAGACAGCAGAGATCTTTCTCTCCTGTCTAGGTGAGTACCCTTTCTTCCGATTTCCTTTTCTCATTTCCCTTCACTTGTAGATACTAACGAGAGATCTTTCTCTCCTGTCTAGACTGAAATAAAACCCACTTTGGTACTAGAATCCTTCCTTCAGGAGCTATTGAGCCCTTGTCTAGTGCCTTTCCCGACGGACAGTGAAGGACTCAACGGAGTCCTTACAGCCCCAGTCCAGTTTTTCACAGTGCTCCTGAGTTGGGATACCGCACTCAAAATCACGATGCAAAGAGTAGGTGACATGAAAATGATAAGGAAAAAATGGAACAGAAAGCCGATGACAATCGTTGTAGAAGAAAAAGATCCAAGGAGAAGAAACAAGACCTCTGAGGAGAAGAAATAAGACCTCCAAGGAGAAGAAACGAGACCACTGAAGGACGAGAACAATGGTTTTACAGTTCGGAATCAACCAGTCGTTCGAGCACATAAATTCCTTCACAAGAAGGAGCATGATGGGATATCAATAATGACAAGACATGGGCAAATATGTTGAGCTATGTGGCAAAAATTCTTGGTTTGCTGGTCAATCGGAAGTAGGAACACCAAAGTGAAGGAAGCTGAATTGATTAGAAATTAGATCAAGGAGATATTTTGCCGGTGTACATCATTTTATGTCGTCATCAGGGTCTTTTTTTTCCATACTCCACCACCGGGTTGCCCATACGTCCAAGTTCAACGGGCGCATACACCCAAATCTTTGGCCCAATCGACGACAGGCAATCAACCATATTCAAGAGCTAAAATTGGACACGGAGTATTAAGTAGCAAAATGCAAAGAATAAATAAATCAAAAAGGAAAAGTGAAAAGAAAATAGAGCAATCATGCTGAAGGAAGAAAACAGCCATGGATAAATCACGAGAAGAAACGGGACCGCAGAAGGACGAGACGATGGATTGGGAGTTCGGAATCAACCATTCCCTAGTAGACCTACCACTGAGTTGCGTGTCCAAAGACAAAGAGCGCCCGATCTTCGCCAATCGCTGAAGGAAATTATCATAGACCTTCCGATGTGTGCGACAAGACGAAATTCAACTAACGAAACCGCTGCCTTTCCTCCGTCGAGAGTGTTGTGACACGTCATTTTAGGTGTTCTTCATTAGTCATCATTTATTACATAACACATACATTATCTTATAGTTTTCACATAGTTTTTATTATGGTTTTATACTTTCTTTCTCACAAACTCAAGTACATACTATCATTTGTATATAAACCTTCTTCATCTCATCACCTGTGACCCCTACTATACCCCATACTATAGACATGTACAGAAGGGGACACCAGACACCGTATACCGACCATCCCCCACCAAAAATTACGAACCCTGAGAATCCTTGGAAACCCAGAAAACCCAAGAAAATATCGGCCGCGAAGCGGCCGATTTTTTTTCCAAAGTCCCCTTCTCTAGCTGCCCCCTGGGACCCTTCCCACCCTTTGCCAAAAGAGTCTAAGACCCCCGGTCCCTAGTGTACAGTGCTACATCTCCCCAGAGAGTCGAGACCCCCGGTCGCCGCTGTAACACTACGTTGTCACATCACTCCTCAACCCGGAGTCATATCACCAGCGCTCCGGTCATAACACTCGCCGAGTTGCCACCCGGCCCGGCCAGCTTCATACGATCAACCCTTATCCAACCCTTATCGGTGTTTCACCTAACACACAACTTGGGTCTTACTTCTCACTTGGCTCATCCCTCTTCCCTCATCACTCATCGACTCACCCTCAAGAACTCGATTCAAACCAGCTGACTCACCTCACCGCCCTGGAACAAAAGTCTACCTCACCTTCCATCTACCTCTCCGACTTCCTCCGATCAGGCCTCACACAATAACGATCGCACCAAGGTGAGTCCTTCATTTCCTAAGCATCTCAACCTGATAGCTGAACTGATGTTCCTCGATTCATGTCCAACCTCTACAGATCAAATCAACTGCTCATGGCTATCCATCGTATCACTGTTCGTGGCACCAACCGCACACAGCAAGTCCGTCGTCACCTTTACGCAAGTCGGATCGCTGCAAACTTGTCAAGATTGCGCAGTGCTGAAAATATTGATGGACAACGAGCACGAAGGCCCACAAACGAAGCAAATGAAAATGTCATGGATAATCTGACCGGATCATTTGATGTATTTCAAGATAACTAACGAGAGGACCGGGAAGACATCAACGGAGACGAGCGTGAAGACGAGACCGAACAGGCCCCCGAATGGGTTGACTTGATTGAAGAACAGCCAGACGACATTGATGATCTGATTGCAGCCGACAAAGAGCGACATCGTCAGCAAGCACGTGACTTCAATTGGACTGTACTCATGAATTACCTCTTGCCTGTCTACATGAGGCTACGAATAGTGACCAAAAATTGGTCGTCTACTAATAGTTATGATACGTTTTCCAGCTGCTTGACAACATGTTCGAAGAAGTACAATCGCTTGGTTGATTTGGTTGATATACATGGCAAGTTTTATTTTTGTCATGAATTCCCTCAATTTTACTGACTATGATTCTCCTAACTAGGTCAGCAACGAAAGCAAGTCACCTTTTGTGAATGTACTATGGATGGTGTTAGGCTTCTGCAACAAGGATACCTTGCTGGCTCACCAGTCAAGCCACAGACTGCTTTTTCGCTCCCGCTTCTCATTTTCCACAACAGCCTCTGGAATCACTGCCACATAGGTGCACAGCCCTTCACATTAGCCCTCAACGATTGGCTTGAACCTCGATCACAGAGATTGTGTGCCCGAAAAGGAAAACATGTAAGCTTTATCTTTGTTTACACAGATCAATGTCTCACTAAATCAACCCTTGTGTGATTTTAACTTCATAGCCCAGACAGCTCCGAAAACCATTCTCAGCTGCAGTTGACATGTTCCGACAGCTGGAAGAGAAACGGAAAAAGTCAATCTTCTCGGTGTTGGGGCTCTCTAACCAGGAAGTATTGGCTTCCTCATCCTGCCCTGCTTGCTTTGGGCCACAGCCCCCTAATTTGTCTGATTATACTGCCAACATGCGCAATCGGCTTATAGTTTGTCTTGATGGCAACTTCCAGCACCGTCACCAAATCAAAGCTAGTCGCAATCACGAAAAACTACGTACACCTCAATTTTTCATCAGCCAGGCCGATGTTGATATTGTCTCACAAGAAATTCGGCACCAAGAAGCTCAAGGAATGACTCCTGAACAGGTGCGATCATTCTATTTGAATATTATGAATGAAACTGAGGAGACCTTTCATTTCCACAGGCCGATCGTTGTACAGAATCTCACAAGGCAGCGGACGACAAACGTAATGAATCAACATGGAAAGGATGTGATGACACTGGGCTAATGGGATGCTGCTGCCGACACGATGCAGCTATCTATTTGACAAACATATACAAGTCTGGCGAGAAAAGGCACTTCCCGATGACCATAATCAAGAAGCTTCTCTCCGACATTGAGCCCAACCGTCAAGTTGGAATATTGTATGATATAGGATGTACAATGGATAAATATATTGATCGTGTTTGTAGTGTTCTCTGCTTCTCATGCTGCAATACATAATTAAGACTTCTATTTTTATTCATAATTCAGCGCCAACTCATACCACAATATCGAAGCCAACTTAAATTTGGAACATCAGTCTTCCATGCCTATGCCCACAACTGGCTCTGCCAACTTGAATTTCATCCTAGATTCAATAAAGGCTGGGGGTTGTCAGATGGTGAAGGTCTTGAGAGGCTTTGGTCTTATCTCTCCTCTCTTGTCAGCCCCTTAAGGTATGCCACTCGCAATCATCGGTTGGCTGCTATATCACATCGAGTAAAACATCACAACAACAGAGGAATCAAACAGCTTCGTAAGTCCTTTTGTACTAGTAAACAAAGCAAGATAGGCTGGATTTTGATGTGGATTTTATCTTCTTAAACTTTAGCTTACTGGCTCCGGAGAAAGTTTCATCAGGCTGTTAAACGGCAACAGGAAACTCAATCAACTCTGACTACACTTCTAACCAAGCGGAACCCTCACGAACGGCTTGACCAAAACTTCACAATCGACTTCTTCAAGAAACAATGGAAGGCCCAGCAGCAATTCCACACAGAGCACACAGAAGCCGAGATGGACCGTAGGAACAAACTTGTGGCACTCTACAAGCGAGAAGCAACTGTTGAGTACATGAGGTATGCATACAATCAAATTCACAATCATCACAACTGTCTGACACTTCACCTCAGGGAACGTTTACAGGGACCTGAAATTTTCTTGGTCACTGTGGCTGAGGTTCGTGAGCTCATGGACTCAATAGTAGCACAGTCTGACTCATTGGCAAGTGAAATTGCTGAGCTCACTGGTCGAATGGAGGGGGGATCAAACAGAGGTGAGCCCTTCAAGCTGAGATTGTCATACAATATTGATCTCATTGTGCTTTTTTATCAGATTACGAGGAGGAGAAGCTCCGACTGCTTCTCTGGGATGCCAAATCCGAGCTGTTTGTGCAAGCCGTTCATATTCATGCAGAGCGGCAACCTCTACTAAATTCCCATATCATGGGATCACATCTTGGCACCCAAGGAAAAGAGAACATCATTAAAGCACTGCAGAACCGACGCCCAGCTGTCAAGAAAATAATCGATACGTTCAATGGGCTATACGAACAATTCCAACAGAAGTACCCCGAGCAGCATCTGTCGGATGCCCACGACCATCCTCTCACATACGATGACTTTGTTGAATGGGAAATGGATCACCCATTTTGGAATGATGGTTTGTATCACCATATGGAGGCCCCTTGGTCAATCGACCCAGACGTCAAAACGGGTATCAACTGCATTCTAATCCTTCGTCGTGTTCAAGAGGAGTTTGAGCTCATTGCTCAGGAATTGGCCAGGGCTGTCGGTTGGGCCATTGCAACCCACTCACAACTAACTGAGACTATTGCGCACATCACAACACGTGAGTTAATTGGAGTATATTTGTTTGTTTTGATTAATTACATATTTAAGCAATTTTGATTTATGCGCAGGTATCAACCTTGTCAAATCTGATCCGAATGTGGCTACTGATCGATTCGACGATTTGTCTTTTGGAGTGGTCTCCCGGCTTGGTAAATTGGAATTGGTGCAGGAAGAGTTGAAGTTATCTTTGATTGATCATGGCAAGTTGATCGAGGATTGGAATGATCAGGTAAACTCCCTGTGGAGACAATGCCAGCCAAGTGGTAACAGTGCTCAGTTTCAGCAATGGACTGAATTGATTGACAAGGTCAAAGTTGATCAAAGCACTGTGTTTCCCACTCTTTCAGCATTCAGTCAACCTCAAAATGATGTTGAGGATGCCCTTGAAGAAGCAATATTGGGTGTGGGTTTAGATGATGGAGAAGATGCTGATGAAGAGTGGATGTCAGAAGGGGAGGAGATTTCATGATGCACTTTCACTATTCCAGAGCATCCTTTTTTGAAGCTTGTGGACTATTTACTCCAATTAGTGATTTCCTCTGCTAGTTTGTTTCTCTTCCATGATTACTCTCTGCTAGTTTTTCTCACTTGCTTGATCAGTGTGTTGGTGTAACCCAGACAGAACAGTTCCATAGTTTTTTATTCCTACCATTTGACCATCATTGTCAAGAGAAGATACTTATATTAATTCACTGAGTTGGTAAAATTATCAATGCTGTGGAGTTAATGATGATAATCATGATTTAATGAAGATTTATTAATGAAGAGTAATGTGAGTGAATCATATTTTGTTGTGTGTTAACCTCATGCACAACCTAATTTGTTTCTTTTCTATGATTTTGCCTTGGCTCAATACTACCTTCATAATCATTCAAGAATAACCACAATGAATCATCAATAAAATCAGTTAACAACATCAATGATTTAATTATAATAATGAGTTGACAATCATAATGGGTCAATAATAATAATGGGTTGCTAACAAAGAGTGAACACCATTTGGGATGAAAGAGATATGTTAGTGTGTAAATCCCAGATTACCCAGGATACTTGAAACCCAGCCAGGTATTCATGTAGTGTCAAAATTCATGAATTATTGAGAATATAAATGATTGTCCCTTGTAGTCATCAAGTCACATGTTGTAAGCATTGTCTGAGTTATGAATGTCATAATCATGTATTGATGGTAAAGTATATTCTTGAATTAATAATCAAGAGCTAATGAGCTGAATTCAATCCATGGCCGGAGTGAATAATCAGATGCATCAGTCCATGCCCATCAGTTAAATGCAGTGGGCACTAAATCCAAGCTCTATATCCAAGCAACAACAACAATTAAAAAAATAGGCCTGAGTTGTTCACTCATTTATGACTCTACATGCCTTACTGCATTCAGCCTTCACTTCATTTATATCTGAATCTGTCTTCATTTTCAAACCATATTTATGCTTCCTGAAAGTCAGAAAACCTCAGGTTTGGTTGCAGTAATATTTGTATAACTGTTTTTGAATATCTCTGTGATTGGACATAGAGGTTGGGTGTAGATACACCCATTGATAGTATCACATCAGTCAAAGCGAGGAAATGTCCCAGTAGAAACACAGGTAATCCTACATCAAAATATGGGTAATCTTGAGCCATTTCTGAATACTGGTACTTCCTTAAATATTGCAGAGAGCTCATTTTGAGCAGATTTCTACTATCCCACTCATGGCCAAAGTAACTGTTATTGAGCTGTGTTCTCATCCAAGAAAAATCTCTATTCGAACTTGAGGCTCAGATCTATTTTCACCTCCGGGAAAGAAAAGTCTTGATTTTATATATAAATTAAATTGTTTTGTCTCCTTAAGGGACTGACCATTCTAGTTTTCTTGTATAATAAGGTTAGCATCAGTTACACAAAAATTCAGAAACTCTGAAATGACCATAGTTGGCAAGAAAGTTGCTGCATTCTTCACTAAGTGGTCAAGCAGTCCTGGCGCTCCTCCCTCCCACCCAAAACTCAACCAGTTTTGCCCAAGTTTAGACACCCACAACTCAACCGCTTATGAATGAGCTAGAACCTTCCATGAGTTGCTACAACCTTCTGTGTCTACAACCTTCTGTGTGTCTTGTTACGGTGAACATCTTACCTCCTCACCCAGTGGCCTCAATTTAAGAACCCCCCCCTTCCAGCGAACGGTTACTCCAAGCTACCTTCCCATCACCCTTCAGCAGTCATTCACACTTAACCACATCTTAAGAAACCTTGATTTCACCCAAATCTCCACCAAGTCACACTTCCATTTCCCTCCTGCTTGCTTTTGCTGTCCTCTGGTATGTTAGAAAATCCCTCCTCAAAACCGGTTAAACATTCCAACTGAGATCTAACTATCTTGTTTCTCTCTGTGTGCACCTTGATAGTGTCGGTTAACACTGCTCGTTGGCCTCCGTCTGATTACTCGATGGCATCACAGATAACCTTTGGCAGTTTACCACCTTGGCCTTTAGGGCCCCACGACAGTCCCAACCCAGGGGCAACCGGCACCCCAACGCCTTCGACTGCCACCAACCACACCAGTCTCGTTGGGTCCACCAGTCTTTCAAACGAGATTTTTCCTCAGGGACCAGACACATCAACTCCAGCTGGTCAAACTGCTGAGTTGTTCAGACGGGTACTAACTACTCCCTCAACTCCAAGCTTGTCGGTCCGATCCAACCCTGGTGACCTCTCACTTCCTCCCCCACTTGACCTTCCTGGTCTTCCCACCCCCTCCGGTACCACTGTAACCAAGCGACCTCGCAAAAAACGCGCCTCTCGTGCTCAAACCGGATCCGTGGCTGCAGTACCCACCACCTCAGTGGATGTTCAAAATCATCGCTCACCTACCCCTGAAGTCGACCTCACTAGGTTCCAGGGCCGTCAAAAGCGATCAAAGCTGTCTTCTGAAACCATGGAGCAAGTCAACCAACAATCACTTGATCAGCTCCGCCGAACTGTTGCCAAGGACCCTGAATATCTACGACTCACGGTTTCTGACAAACTTCAACTCGATGCAGCATACCGTGCATATCAGTCTGCTGTCCATCGGATTGCAATCGAGAACAAGCTTCACATCAAACCTGTGTTGGATTACCTCGGCAATGAAGCTCGGATCCGAGGACCCTCGTGCTACAACAACTTTTGTAAGTACGACCCTGTTGCTGGGGCAATCAATCGTGATAGTAAGTGGTCTTTCTCTTTCAAATCAGACATGTGCTCCAGAGCTGAGGATAGTGTGATCTGCAAATAGAAACGATACCTTCCAAGGAGCAAGCCTCCCAGTGCGGCGCACTCTGGAGACAGCTCACTCGAGAGGAGCAGGCCCAATGGAAAGATCAGGACTTTCTTGACTCGTTTCCTGCTCACAATGAACCGGAATCCACCGCGCCAGATGCTAGCAATATGACCGAGTCGTCTTCTCCTGCACGTGTACGCAGGACTTTTACCTCGCAACCATTTCAGTCTTAAACGTTGGGCTCACAAAGTCCAAAGAGAGGTAAGCAATCTTGACCGTTCTCCTTCATGCATTAGATCAGAGTCTCTGATAGTTCAATTGCTCCTTCAGCTCCGAAATCTTAGTACTGCTCATCAAGTTGAGGGGTATTTGGTCCTCGCATCGCGGGACCCCATTAGACCTGTTCTGCTGACTGGTGGCAGCCATATGGCTGAGGAGTTCCTCGACATCCTAGCTTCCGATACCAATCAGTGCAACTCTTTCTTCAACTTCGTTAGTGGGAAGCAGGCTGTTAAGGATGTTTCGGGCCGATACCCCCCTTCGATCAATCCAAGGAAGCGACGTCGCGGTGTTGATGGTGACGATCCCAACTGTCCACACGATCTAGGTATGCAACTTCATCTCCTCTGACACTTGTCACCTGCAATCTACAAAAACTAACCGTGTTTGACACAGGGAGCAAAAAGGCTAATGCCGCTGAAGTTCGCAAATTGCTCCGAGAGTCGTTGAGTAAAGCCACCCACGGTGCTTGGCAAAATGGCTGGCCAGGTACCAAAACCGCTGCAAAGTTGCGCAAACTTGGTGTAACCCTCTCGGTTCAAGACAATGATCAAAACATCACTGCAGCCGATTTCTGCAAACGACCATCAGACATGTTTATCGGCCAAACACAGAGAATTCTCTTGGCATTCTCCAAAGGATGGGTCAAGATTACCGGTCCACCTCAGCCAGACCCTTCTTCGATTGGTCTTGATCCGAACGAGGACGACGACATCGAAAGTGGATTGGAGGTCAACGAAGCCACCTCAAGCCGACCAAAGAAGGCCCTCCCCAAGAGAAACGCACCTCCAGCCAAGAGGGCTGCAATCACAACCGCCAAAGCTGTCTATCCTAGGGTAGGCAAGATTAGACAGCCACGTACGGTGCGTAAGAGGCGGAACACCTCACCAAGTAGTTCTTCAGAGGAGGAGGAGGATCGATACTCCACTGACTCATCATCCTCTGAAACCACACATGATTCATCGCATGATGGACATTCTAATCAGGAATAGTTTCACATGAGATCGAAGTCAAAACCCTCAATCAGTTGCCGGATTCTCACTATCTGTCTCCTCACTTTTCTTTGTTGCTCCTTCACTCGTTAACCCAAATTATGCTTGCTTCACGATCTTTTTCTTTCTTTTGTCTCTCCTTAATGAATCTTTTGTGTCATTTCCTGTTTATTTTTTTTGTCGCTCCTTCATGAATCTTTGTCCTCTTGTCGTCACTCCTTCATGAATCGATGTTCTCTCCTTGTCGCTCCTTCAGGAATCTTACACTGTCCTTTCCTTGAGTCAAATTTCAACTGTTACAATCAGATCGACACTTGAGAAATTCACCTTTGATTCTTCTAATTACCAACCAATTTCGACATCTGAGAGCGATAGCCTCTCCTTTTCTACAAAGTCCTTTAGCTGCATCGCCTGTCAGGCTGATTGAGATGGACTTGAACTCATGCTCTGGTGCTGCTTGAATCACTTGAGCACTCTCACCTCTCTCACCTCAGTATCAGTTCCATTGCCAGCTAATTGCCAGCTATTCAGTCACCTGAGATCGAATCGATTGTGTAGTGACCGGCTGAATCCCTACTAGTCTGGAACAACTGCAGCTGCGTTCAAAGCCGCTTGTCGCCACATGAGTGGTTGTCGCTCAAGCGAGCTATGAAGGCACTGTGATCACTGTGATTTTGCTTGTTGCTTTTGCTACACAAGCTACCATTTGCACACAGCAACATGGTAGCCCAGAAAAACATCGGAAAAGTCAACGATGATATGGTAGTGTTGCATCGGAACCGGTGAACAACAACGGGAGTGTACAACATTGGATAAAAAAAAGTTCCAGACGGCAAGTTGGGTTGAATCAAGGCAGTCTAAGGAGGATTAATCAAGCAGTGGCGAGGCAAACAAGGCAAAGAATGTGTAAGCGCACCGGTGTGTAACTGTGCGATTTCAGAGTGGCAGAGAGGTAGTCTTGTGTAACATGACAGTGGGCCGGGTGGCGAGTGTTATGACCAGAGTGTGTTATGACCGGAGGGCGATATGACACCGAGGGACCGGTGAAGTGATGTAGCCGCCGGGGATGTGAAATGTTAGGCAGCAGATGGGTGAACGGGGGTTTGTGGTGATGACGAGAAGAGAAGGGTACTTGGCCAAATTTGGAGGTCCCAGGGGGCAGCTAGAGAAGGGGACTTTGGAAAAATTTTCGGCCGCTTCGCGGCCGATATTTTGTCGGGTTTTCTGGGTGTCCTGGGAATCTCAGGGTTTCTAATTTTTGGTGGGGGAGGGTCGGTATACAGTGTCTAGTGTCCCCGTCTGTACAGGTCTATAGTATGGGGTATAGTAGGGGTCACAGGTGCATCTCATGTAATCTATTTTCCCCTCGGGGGAGTTTGTTCATCCACTTCTATACAAATCCCAAGATTCCAGCTCTTCAGGTTATGAGCCCGCGCTGTCACCAGCGGGATTTGTATAACCTTATTACTCCTATTCTATAGTACTTCGAGTAACCACCTACCACTCTATTCTCTACTTCGCGTCGTCACCTGCGGAGTTTCCTTTTTTTTATGGTCCGAACTCGCTCCTCTAATCCTGAAGTCGTTTTGCCTGACTTCACTACTCGAGTAACACCGCCCAGGCGTGATAGAACTTCGATCTCACTTCATTCACGTTCATCTTCGGATTCTTCTTCCTCTCAATCTTCGTTTCATTCGGTTCCTGATTTGGTTGCGATGTCGGGCGACAAACATCGTTCCGATGCCAATGTTCCGGGATCGTTTCCGTCTGCTCTGGCGAATCTTTCGTCTCTTTTCTCATCCTCTCCTCGTCGATCTAACGGCCGGACTCCTCCTTTGGATCCGCAACCGATGCGTCCTGCAAACTCGAGGATCCATTTTGCTGAAGACCAAAACGTCAGTCTGCCTCTTCCTCTTTCCTCGTCGGCCTCTCAACCTCCTCTGCCTTCGTCGTCGACTTTGAAAGCAGACGACCCACCTTCCTCTGGCGTCTTTGACGACTTGTCGTCCCCTCTGGCCAAAGGGAAGGATCGTGTAGTGGAGGCCGATTCACCTGGACCTTCGCCTCGTGTTCCGTCTAGTTTTCAAGATGCGAAGGGGGATTCGGGCGCCGTCGACGATCTTCTTGCGCAGCTGCTTGGTGATTCGCGGGTTAAAGGCATGGACAACAGCATGCTCAAGCTTCTCCTGTTAAAAAATCTGATGGCTGTTAACAACCAAACTAACCCGTTGAATTCTTCGGCATCTGTCGCAAGTCAACTGAAGTGGCAGTCTCTTGGTGCAAACGTCAAGCCGTCCTTGGCCGTCGATGGTTCTAATTTTCCCCTCTGGTCAGCCTCGCTGAAGGATCTCGTGTTGGGCGTCACTCAAGTGGACAACTACTTCAAGCATGATCGTTTCGAGGATGATGTTCCCACGGCTCTCGGAGTACTGGCAGTGATCAAGAATTCCATCGACGAGGCGCTAAGCTCTTCCCTCAACGGAATGAACGCTTACGGGGCCTGGATCTCCCTCTATGAGCGATTCTCCGGTCCCTCCTGGTCCCTCCTCCTCAGTCGTTGGTCTGACATCGCGCAGGCCCCGGATGCGTCAGACTCGATCTCCTCTAGCTATGAATCTTTAAAGAGGAGCTTGTTGGATATGGAGGAGCGACTGGGGGGGTGGACAACAGATAAGTTGTTGTCCTTAACTTTCAACTCCAGCATCCATCGCTATCGAAATCAAGTCGCTGACACCATGGATTCTTGACTCGCCATCTTTCCTGGCACTCCGATTTCGTCGATGGATCTCCGCAATGTTGCAACTCGACTTCACCAATCTACGACAGCTCACTCTTCCAGTGCTAGTGCGCACTCGGTCATGGCGGTGTCTTCTCAAGGTGGCCGAGGGGGACGTTTCAAACCTTCAAGAGGTGGTCGCGGTTATGGAGGTCGTATGCCTCAGTCTGCCTTGGTTTCAAGGGACAACTATCCAGCCGACAGTTGGGGGTCAAAGTTTATCACTCCCGAGTTTCCATGCAACTCTTGTTGGGAGTGGGGTCACTGGGCCCCTGATTGTCCTCGCGCTAAAAGCAGTCTTCTGCCCCTTGATGATCCTCGAGTCGGTAATCCCGGCTGGAAACCCAAAAAATCCTCCGTGCTCTCGAATCGGTTGGTTTCTTTGGATAACAACTTGGCCTCGATCACTGCTGCCCCGGATAAAGCTGGTGATCTCTTGGTTGATACAGGGGCGACAAACCATGTAACGTTGCACCGTCATTTCTTTGTCAACTTCCAGCCTGCTAATATTCGACTCCGCGTGGCTTCCGAAGAATTCATTCCCGTAGGAGGCATGGGGGACGCAATGTTTCCGACTTCGTCAGGACAACTTTGTTTGAGCAACGTTCTGTATTGCCCGGGCGTCAAGGGCACGGTTCTTTCAGTTGGTTTTTTCGAGCGATGGGATGGCTCTGTCTCTTACTCTGGTGGTTTCTTTTTGTTCCGCCAGTCTGGGCTTGTTTTTTCCACTTATTTGGCCAATTATCGCTGGTTCATCTCTTCCTCTGTTTTGTCTTCAATCTCTCCAACTCCTGGTTCTGCCCCATCTCCTTCTCTCTCTGCTGTTTCCTCCCGACTATGGCATTTTCGTCTGGGTCACTTGGCCGTCAGGACAATCAACCGCTCAATAGATCATCAATGTGTGTGGGGTCTTCCAGACCGGCGTTTCAATTCTTACTCGCGTAAATGCCATTCTTGTTCTTTGTCAAAAAGCACTCACTCCCCGGTGATTTCGCCCTCTTGAGAGATTGTAAGCAAGCCTGGTGATGTAGTGTCTATTGACCTTGTCGGCCCTTTTCCGGAGGCTCTTGATGGATCGCTGTATGGGCTAGTGATCCATGACCTTTTCTCTCGAATGACCTCTACGTTTGGTTTGAAGAGAAAGGCTGATGCTCCTCAGTCAGTCATGGATTGGTTGGTCGATTTTGAGAAACACACCGGGCACGTTGTGTTATGCGTCAGGTCTGATAATGCTGGCGAATTCATCTCAAATCGATTTAATAAATTTTTGTCTGAAAGGAATATTCGCCACGAAATGTCGGTTCCCTATGAACATCATCAAAACCGAAACGTCGAACGTACAAACAGGACTCTGTTAGACATGGCTCGAACGATTCTGGTCTATTCAAAATTACCGACTCAATTGTGGTTCCTTGCCCTCAAACAGGCCACCTTCATTTTCAATCGTTTAGTTCACGATAAATCTTCTAAGACTCCCTACGAACTCTGCATGCGTCTTCACCCCTCCCTCAACATGGTCCGAGTTTTTGGCTGTCGAGCTTATCTCCACGACATCAATTATCCAAAACAGTTTGTGCCTCAATCAACCGCCCTTGTTCATGTTGGCGTCTCCGATGTGACTAATGGCTGGATTCTATGGGACCCCAAAACCAACAAAATTGAACGAGGCGCTTCTGTCATTTTTCACGAGGATGAGTTACCCTGTGGACAACAAGAACCTTCTGTTCTGATGGGGATCCTTAGCTCAATTCGTGTGGAGCAACTCGGTGATTTCTCCATGATTAAGGAGTTTGAAATTCAGGATGCTTGTCTTGAATCGGCGGTTTCAGTTGCTCCCTTTATCTCGGACGCACCAGACACCTATCATCAGGCGGTTCATTCTGAATGGCATTTGGATTGGATCAAAGCCTGTGAAGAAGAAATCGACATGATGGTTTCCCTTCGTGTTTGGGAGGAGGTGCCTTTGACCAATGATCTGGAAATATTGAATTGTTGTTGGGTTTTTGCGCTCAAAAGGAATCAGGAGGGTGAAATCATTCGATTCAAAGGCCGGATAGTCGCTCAAGGTTTTCGACAAATCCACGGCGTCAACGTTGGTGAGACGTTTGCGCCTACTCCAACCTTCACCTCCCTTCGACTTCTTTTTGCTATGGCTGCTCGTTTTGGATGGCCTGTAGCCTCATTTGATGTGAAATCGGCTTTTCTCCATAGTGACATAGATCATGATATTTATATTCGTCCTCCGCCTGGTGTTCATGTCAAGCCCGGTTGCGTCCTCAAGCTTCGAAAGGCTCTCTATGGAACCAGGCAAGCAAGCAGATGCTGGTGGTTGCATCTCAAGACGAAATTGGCGGCCATTGGTTTTCAGCCCAATCTTGAGGATCAATCAACCTACGTTTACCAAAGTGGCTCCGACATGGCTTTCTTGTGGGTTCATGTTGATGATGGAATTTTTACTGCAAGCTCCAAGGCTCTTATGGATAAGCTTCAAATAAAGCTGGAATCTGTCTTGGATCTCAAGTGGGACGCGTCTCTCTCAAGCATTGTCGGCCTACGTGTGCGGGAGGTGAATGGTGGTTTCAGGATTGACCAGCCGCTGCTGGTTGATAAAATCATTAATATCAATCCCTCCAACATCAAGACTCGTACTCCTTTGCCTTCAACTGATCTTGTCTCAAATCCCTCCAAAGGTATGGACAAGGATTATCTGTCGGTAATCGGCTGTCTCCTTTATCTTTCTCAAGGTCCACGGCCGGACATAACTTTCTCTGTCAATTTTCTCGCGCATTTTTCTATGGCGCCTGACGACACGCACTGGGCGGCACTTGAGCATCTGGTCTCTTACGTTCGCTACACCTCGGCTTACTCTCTTCCCATAATTACAAGTGGGGACGGGGCGGACTGTGTCAAGACATTTGTTGACGCCAATTGGGGTGGCAAAGGATCCAGGTCGGTGAACGGTTTCATCTCCACCGTATGGAACGCTCCTGTGTCGTGGGCTTCTAAGAGGCAGAGCTGTTGTGCTCGTTCAACCTGTCAGGCAGAGTACATGGCTTTGTTGTTTGCGTCTAAAGATTACTGCTACATTTCTTCCCTACTCTCCAAGTTTGCAAAAGTTCAACCTCCTCTCATCCTCTCGGACAACAAGGCTGCGGTGTACATCAGCAAGGACTGTGGGACCCGGAAGGAACATCGCCACATAGACCGCGAATTCCATACAATCAATGAACTTCTCTATCATGCAAAGGTTCGACTGGAATGGATTTCAACGGATCATCAGCTGGCCGACATCTTCACCAAGGCTCTTGGTTGGCGAAAAGTTTCGGAATTTCTGGGTCATTTGGGATTAAAAAACTTGCACCCCACCTTGGCAAGTATAGGGGGGAAAGTATGCGCTGGCTGCGACAAACATACGCCCCCCCGCATCTGTTCGTCTCCCTCCATGGAATCTAAACTCAATTGTTGATTGGTTCAGCAGAATTTAACCTTTTATGCTTTATTTTTTGTGTTGTTCGACGGTATAGATTGCTGGTGCTTTCTCCTGGATCTTTTGGTGTCTTTTGTCTTCTGTTGTGTTATCTTTTGAATTTATATTTCTCTCTATTTTTCTTTCTATTTCTTTTTTCTTTATTTTTTATTTGCCTTGCTTATTTTCCTCGACGCTTCTCTTACTGTTTCTTTATTTATTCTACTCACTTGTCTGTGTGTCTCCGTCTTTCTTTGATCCGTTATCTTTTTTGTCTTTTTCTTTGGTATTTCCTCTCCTCAATTTTGGTTTCCTTTTTCTTATTTTTCTCTCTTTGATTTCTTTTGTTTTCTTTTTCTTTTCTTCCTTTTTTGGAGTTTGTGAGGGGGGGGAGTGTTGTGACACGTCATTTTAGGTGTTCTTCATTAGTCATCATTTATTACATAACACATACATTATCTTATAGTTTTCACATAGTTTTTATTATGGTTTTATACTTTCTTTCTCACAAACTCAAGTACATACTATCATTTGTATATAAACCTTCTTCATCTCATGTAATCTATTTTCCCCTCGGGGGAGTTTGTTCATCCACTTCTATACAAATCCCAAGATTCCAGCTCTTCAGAGAGATTATCGGGCACCTTCATTGCGACATGGCCTGACGGAATCTGGAAACAAAAAGTAGACCAGAAATACATAATGAATTGTAGATCTCTGTGTATTGGTTACGAAGAATGTGATCCTACTATGTACTTGTTCAGCACGCGCAGTAGTGACACAATTATCAAGTGTTTGTGAATTCTTGGTCGACTTGGAAAGGTAAGTGACCTGGAGTTTGATTTTTATGAGGTCAATGCCCTTTATTTACAGGCTATGACAGGCTCAATGCAAGTACAACAAGATAAATAGATACCAGATGTGTTCAGGAATGCTGACTGGAATTGCCAACGAAGTACAATTAACCATCATGTCCCACATCCGGCTCGCACACTTCTCAAGCCTTGTTGGGCCATCGGGAACGATTCGTTGCCCCCCAAGTCCTGCAAAATTACTCCCCAGAAAGCAACTGCAGGGTATATGGACTCGCTCCGGGTTGGATTCCAACTTGGAGGGCAACTTAGTTCTACTTGCAGGGGAGGGTTCTTCACCGGCAAGCAAGTGGAGTACATACTCCTGGAAGGAATCTTGGAAGTCCGAGTGCTGCGAATGCAAATCGGACTTTTCATTACTCCTCATTTGGTCATGACGATTTGCCTTGTGTTTATACACTTGGCTGGTACTTATTGCCCGGCATTTGAAACGGCACGCGAGTAAACCTCAAAAGGTGGGCTCCTCCCTTGTTACCGCAAATCCTGAAAAAAAGAAACACATCACACATACTTTCTCATTATCAACCGTCCCAGTGGATGATGAGCACTGAGTAATAACCACCTCGGGACCCGGCCAAACAAGATTCCTCGACCTCCCCAAGAAAAAGTGATGACTGATGAGATGTAATCGTTTGTTGGGTAGGATTTCTCCTCTCCAAAGTCCTCTTGGGAGAGCAGCTACAGGGTTTACCGGCTCTGGGGGGATTCATCCTTGGGCACCAGGAAGATTCCTCCACATCGAGCAAGCAGTGTCTATTGTTGGAAGAAAATTCCTCCTCATCGATCAGGTTCAAGGTGCACTTGCTCCCTGGTACTCAAGCCTGTCGGGCAAGCGGGACCTAGCAGGTCCACTCAGTCCACTCATTGAACTGGTCATCATCCACAAAGCAAAATTTCTACCCAACAAGCTGGTGCGACTGAAGCATTTCACCAACTTACCGGCTGAAGAATCTGTGAGACTGGGTTTGCCAGCTTGTGTATGTAGAGCGGGCATTCTCAGCCTGGCCGAATGTAGGAGCAAAAAGTATTTGTCAAGTGCATAATGAAAACGTTGATCATCTTGTATCTGTTACGCAAAGTGATGTGATCATTGTGTAACTGTTACGAAAAGATGAGATGCAACTCCAGATTAGCAGTATCCAAGGGGATTGGAAGAGCAGTCTGCTACCGTCTGCCCGCCCCCCGCACCGTGATGAGCCAGCTCAACAGTGTGGTTTGGTGGTTGTGATGTGTTCGATCAGGATCAGCATCAGCCTATGTGGATTCTCAAGAATAATAAACAAGTCCCCAACCGCCCCAGGAAGAGATGTTTTTATAAAAGCCTCCATTCCTTTTCTTTCCGCCGAGCACCTAATTCTTACATCGCTCCTTACTTGCCTTGATGTCAAGCACATCAAACATGATCCAGTTGTCTATCATCGATTCATACACAATCGCAGGGACAATTACAAAATGCAACTACAATACATGTTCAACTCGTTAACTCAACCGACTACTCCTCCAATGAAGAATCCCCCCTCGATCCCTTCCTCAACACCTTCGTTCACCTTTGCTGCTTTCTATCTTTCTGCCCTTTCACCATGTTTTCCATCGAGCCCAAAAATCCCCAGCAAACGGCTCTCAAACACTCCATCTCAAAGACCGTCGAGTTAGCAATGAAATCGATTTTGTGATCTTTGTGAGTGAGGTGTCCAAGGGCTAGGGTCAATGCCTTCCACCCAGCCTTCTGTAAGCGATCCATGAGCTGTTTGACCTGATCGCGAGGGAGGCATTGGACAACAGATATGCCCGGGAAGTATACAATTTGCGCTTTGGGGGCCTTCGGACATCTGTCCAAGACTTCCATCAGTATTTTGACTCCCCGTTCCATGAACCACCACATCGTTTCTGGTGAGCTCCTCAAAGACAGCAGACGTCGGGTTTTGGCAAACTTGAGTATTTCGTTCATGCCTTTCAAGGCCGTAACTACCGATGCCGCTAAGTTTGCCAGGTGACGTGTGGTCTCTTCGACTGACATGTTCAACAGTTGATTAGAGGTAGTGTAGTTGGGCATGCGCATTGATTCTACAGTCTCGCCTCGATTCCTAATTACTTGTACCAGCTCGTCAGCAGTTAGCAAAGGTTGTGTGTCATCGCTTGATGCCTGTGCTGGAACTACCAATGATGGTGGTAGCTCAGAATCAGTTTCGGTTCGCCTCTTCTTGCTGGGGCCCTTTGAACCATCGTTGGGGCGTGGTCGATCCTCAATTGGTGGGACTGGGGCCTCCTGCCTCATGGACGAATGATCTGGCACCCATTCTGAGGTGTTTGATGGGTCCATGGCTATGCCTGGGTAGCTAGTGGGCTTGATTCTATACTCCATCGGATTTTCGACAACAAGTAGGTTGTATTCGCTTGAGAGGTAGTACATGTGCTTGCAGGCTGACCCGTATAACATGAAATATTCGCAAGAACAGCTGGTGACCCGACCGAGTTCAACTCCTTTGAGCTCCGTATATCGAACTAGGTAGAATGTGGTGGCGGTGTTTGTGAACGAGCTCACACAATACTACATGACATTACCTGTATCAGTTCCGTTGCAATTGTGAGGGGAGATGAGAAGATATGAGAAACACTTACATGAGCTTGGAACTTGTAAACAGCTATTCCTAGTAGTGCCAAGATTTCTGCGGTGTAGCCATCGGCCCTTGCCTTGGCATGCGACTGAAACTGATTGGTCCTCTGGGCTGTGATTCCCTCTGATACCTGAGATTGGGTCATGAGGTACGATGTGTGTACTTCATCGGTTAAAATCTGGACGACCTCATCGATCCGACGCCGCTCTTGAGTATCGACAAACTGCTCTTTCAAAATCCGATGCCAAGCTTCAGTATAGTTGTTTGTGTGTATACCTTGATGAGGGGTCTAAGTGAAACAATTTAATTAGAAAAATGATCAATGCAATTATTAGGATGAATGGACCACTTACTGTCACTGCCAACATTATCCACTCTGATTGTGTCAGCCTCTATGCTACTAACCTGTAAGGGTTGTGCTCTGAGTGTTAACAAGTATGGTAAGTGGGAAGGTTTATTCGTGGTTAAATCCCTCAACCTGTAAAAGAAACAGGGAGGAGTCAGTGAGGAATGGTACTTCTACTGCTGACTCATCCAATTATTTAATTGGGCATCCAGATCAATCCTCTTGTATGGATTAATAGGCTTCCAAGATGAGGACTTCTTCAACTCACTTGGGATTAGTCTTTTAACAACAATCTAGATTAATAAGTGTATCAACACTTAAGGACCAGAATTGTTTAACCTGGGGGATAATTCTTTATGCAATAGAGATAAGTAGATATGCCTTGAATCTGAGCAAAGTAAATCTATTTAGGTCTAAGGTAGCTGGTTTGTAAGGTTATTGGTGGTTTGAATCACTAATAAACACGGTACAAGTGTTGGTTTGATGCTACTAGAATTTCCTGGGGGGAAAAGGTAGGAATCTGAGCTCCTTAAATATTCTACAGGGGGCTCAGGGGAAGAGGAGAGGCCCTCAGGGCACTAGGGAGCTTCTTAGCAGCTCTACAGTTTCGTGTAAGGATGGGAGCTGTAGCTGTGCAGTGCTATGCATGGGTGGAAGGTCCTAGGACATGAGATCATACATGCATAATTGAGTTTTGTGGCCTATTTCTCACGTAATTTAAAGGGCTACATTTACTGTGCAGGGGCTGTGCAATTGTAGAGTTGTTTGCATACGTGTAACTCTGCTTATGCAAGCTTGTGATCATGAGAAATGCATGTCCTTCATGCATAATTCAGTCTTGCATGTAGAATTTGGGCTCCTTTCCCGTGTAGGCTGCTTTGAATTATGCAAGCTTTGAATTAGAGCACAAAAGGGTCCTGATGACGCCATCCAAGAGGGTTATGATGAAATCTGATGCCCTGATGATGTGATCAAGGATGGGTAAGCTTCAGATAAATGTATATAGCTTATTCCTCATCCATTTCACGCTTCTACTAGCTGATTCTTTATACATATGTAATTATTTATGGCTTATAAAATATGTACATAATGTATAAGAATAAACATTGTTTTAATACTTTATTCTAATGATATTTCTGTGAAATCCTAGTGATATTATATGTACAATACTCAAGGGGATTTCACAGTTAATTATAGAATTATTAAATATAAATTATGAATTAAGATTAAATGTAAATACATATTTATTTATTTATTATTCTAACAACAATGTATACTATTTTCCAGTATTCAATTAATTATTATTATTGCAGTTACTAGGTACATTTCACGTACTGTGAAATGTGCTCTGTGGCTGACACTTCCTCCCCCTAAAAAAGGAAATGATCCTCAAATCATTTTCTCTTGTCTACTCTGTATTGTCTGAGGAGTTTATCTGAGTCAGGTATCTTGTCTACAGGTAGCCATTCATCTTCTTTACTACCACTATATCTAACCAGATATTGTTTAATGTCAGTATTATTTTGTCTAATTTTCCTATGTTGTAAAATTTTCTTAATTTTCACTATTTCTTCTTCTAATGGAGGAATTACTACTCTCACATTATCTTTCCTTAAAGGAAATTTCTCATTGTCATTTATTACATAAGGTTTAATTAAACTAACAGGAAAAGTAGGGTGTTTCTTATCAAATTCTCCTGTGAGAATAACTTCTACAGCATTTTTCCCGTGTAATTGTTTAATTGTAAAAGGTCCTACGTAAGAATCACGTAATTTCTTTGGTCCAGATAAGTTGGTAAAATTTAGTGTGGATACTAACACTTGGTCACCAATTTGGAATTTGTGGGTTTTATGAGTTTTATCCCATCTAGATTTATTATAATCTACAGCTTGTTTAACACCTTCAGAGGCATATTTCTCTGCTTTAGTCATCATGAAATGGAAATCTGTGGCACTGGGATGAATGTGTACAGCTTTATTCAATAGTACATCTCTTGGGAACCAGGGTGTCCATCCTCTTTCCAGTTCAAATGGAGTCTTATTGGTGGTACTATGTTTGCTAGAATTATATGCAAACTCTAGAGCAGGAAGAAGGGAAACCCAGTCATGAGTGTAACTGTCTTTATCTTTAAAGTGCAATCCAAAAGCACAGTATCTCCTGATCATGTCTTCTAGAGTTTGTATCATTCTTTCAGCTAGGCCATCAGTTTGTGGGTGGTAAGCAGTGGAAAATTTTAATTGTGTACCACACAGATCATATAAGTTTCTCCAGAATTCAGATGTAAATTTAGGGTCTCTGTCTGTAATAATATATCTAGGACAACCTACATCATAAATGATAGAGTTCCAGAATAGTAAGGCTGTGTCCATGGCAGTGTCTTCTTTATGACAAGGGAGAAATCTTGCTCTCTTAGAGAATCTATCTACTACTACAAGTACAGCATTGAAGTTATTGGGTCCTCCAGGTGGTAATCCAGTAACAAAGTCCATATTAATTACACACCATCTTTCTTTGGGTTCTTCAATTTCCTGTAGTAGTCCATATCTTTTTCCCGTTGCCTTATTGGCTTTCTGGCATCTTTCACATGATTCACAATATTTCTTAGTGTCATTTTTAAAATTGGGCCACCATGCTACATTCTTAATTCTTTCTATAGTCCTGTCATAAGAGAAGTGTGCTGATGTAATATTATCATGACATTCTTTCAGGAATAAGTTAATGTGTTCAGGTGAGCATATGGTAACAACACTGGTATGTTTGGTTCTATGGTAAATTAATCCATCATATAATGCAAATCTATCTTCTTTAAATGATGTTAGCCAGGGTTCCTCTAATGAGTTAATCAACTCATTTGGTCTGAATTTACTTTGAAGAATTTCTACTATAGTGGATAAGTTTTTATTAGAAGCATAACTTTTTCTAACTTCATCCCAGAATTCTTCTTCCATTTCTGTTATATGTAATCCATTGACACCAATGACATCTTTATTATCATCAAATCCATAGTTGTCTACAGAATTTTCCATTGGGAATAGAGACATAATTTTGGCGGCAATTTCCCCATCCCAAGCTGGGTTCAACTCATTGTTTTCAAGGGACCATCTACTCAGTCCATCAGCATTTTTATGAATATTTCCAGCTCTGTGGGAAATTGTCATACTATTTCTCCATTCTTGTATGGCTATTTGCCAACGTAACATGTGTCTGTTGGGTGTTTTCATGTTCAGAAGGCTTTTCAGAGCATTACAATCTGTAATAACTTCAAATGTACAACCATCTAAGTAGTAATACAATTTATCTAAAGCCCAGACAAGACAAAGGCATTCCAGTTGGCTAGCACCATACTTTTTCTCACTGTCTTTAAGGGTTCTGGATATATAACATATTACTCCTTCTTTGGGAATTCCATCTGGCTCTTGTATTTGGTGTAATGCTGCTCCTAGTCCTTCCATACTAGCATCTACATATAGTTTGAAACTTCTTGATGGATCAGGCATAAAAAGAATTGGTGCAGAGGTAAGTAAGTCTCTCAGTTTCTGATATGCTTCTACTCTTTCAGTTGTCATTTCAAATGCAGTATTGGGACAGGTAATTTTATAAAGACTTCCACTAACTTTGGCAAAATCTTTAATATGTTGTCTGTAATATCCAGCAAAGCCAAGAAAAGATTGTAGTTCTTTCACGTTACTGGGCATAGGTTTGAGTAACACAGCTGCTACTTTATTTTTATCAATAGCTATACTAAGTCCTGAAACTATATGTCCTAAGGCTTTCAGTTCTGCAAATCCAAACTGGCATTTGTTCATGGATATTTTCATATTCATATTAATGACTCTGTCTAATACAATGGCTAATTTTTCTAAATGTTCATTCCAGTCTTTGCTGAATATTATAATATCATCAATGTAAATGATAAGCCATCCTTCTCTAAGTTCTTTATGAAATTCAACATCCATCATCCTTTGGAAATGAGAAGGTGCATTTTTAATTCCAAAAGGCATTCTCTGATATTCATAAATTCCCATGTGTAATATGATTCTCATCAAGTGTCTACTGTCCTTGTGAATTACATTCTGATGAAAACCTTTGAGTACATCCATGCATGTAATATATTTAGCATTTTGTAATTGTGTAATGGCTTCTGCAATTTTGGGCATGGGGTACCTGTCTGGTATTGTATAATTATTAAGGGCTCTGAAGTCTCCTACCATACGTGATTTGCCATTATGCCAGGCAATAATAACAGGTGTGGTAATTTCAACATTTTCATTAGGCCCAACTTTCCTTAATACTCCCATTTTTACTAGTTCTGTCACGTGTTGCTGTAAGGCTTCTCTACTCCTGGGGGAAGCTGGATAGGCTGCTTTCTTAAGTAAAGGAGGGTAAGGTCTTGAGGTATTTAATGAAATTTGTACTTCATGTCCTTTAATACATCCAAATGGTTCATCTGCTGTAGCAAAAGCTAGTTTCTTTTTATGTAGTAATTTAACAAGTTGTTCTTTCTGTGTTTTGTCCAAATCAGGGTTGATTTTTGCTTCACTAATAGTTTCAGAAAATTTGTTATTGTCTAGGGCATTACATTCTAATTGTTCCAGGTTCAATTTGTCACTAATACCTATTTCATACTTAGTATGTACGTCTCCTCCAATATTGAAATATCTACCATTACTGTTGATGACATCTATGCCGTAATTAATGATGTAATCATTGCCTAGGATAATATATTTCATTTTGAAGTCTTCCATAACTACTAGTTCAGCTGTCATTTGAACACTTTTCTGGTTATGAGGGAAAATAATGTTCAATGTAATTATTCCTATAGGTTTTAATCTACTATTGCAACTGTAAAATTTATCAGGTTTAATAGGCAGTAGATGTTTACGCCATGAGGGGAATATTTTATCAAGGAGTTTGGGTCCTGCTATTGAACAGAATGCTCCACCATCAATTAGACATTTAATTTTGTATTTGTTACAAATAACATTGGTGATGTTAGTTCCACCAGTCTTATGCATTTTCCCA